TCTCCAGCTACGAGAACAAATACGTGAAATTCTTCCGGAGCAAACCCGAGCTGCCGCCGGGTCTGAACCCCGAGGCCGCCGCCCCCTCCCCGCCGGGCCGAGGGACCCCCGGGCGGCCCGATGGGGGGGGCTGCGACCCCTCCCCAACTTTGTCCAAGAGCGCCCGGAGGAACCTGAAACGCAAAGAGAAAAGGAAACAGCAGCAGGAAAAAGATCGGGAAAACCACGGGGGGGACGGACTGAGCCAGGAGCTGGAAAAAATCAGCCTGGGAGGAGGAGGAGGAGGAGGAGGAGGAGACAACGGAGGAGGAGGCGGGACAGCGGGAGGGGAGAAAAACGTGGAAAACCCCGGGAATTCCGGCAAGAATTCGGGGAAAAATTCCGGCAAGAATTCAGTGAAAAATCCGGCAGAATCGGGGAAGAATTCGAGCAAGAATTCAGAAGATTCTGGAAGAATTCCAGCAAAAATTCAGCAGATTTCGGGAAGAATTCAGCAAATTCCGGGATTAAATCGGGGAATAATTCCGGGAATAATTTGGGGAATAACGTTGGGAATTTGGGGAGTAATTTAGGGTGTAACACCAGGAATTCCGGGGGTAATTTGGGAGGTAATTTAGGGGGTAACACTGGGAATTTGGGGGGTAATTTAGGGGGTAACACTGGGAATTTGGGGAGTAATTTAGGGGGTAATTTGAGGAGTAATTCTGGGAATAACCTCGGCAATTCCGGGGGTAACTCTAGAAATAATTTGGGGAAAAATCCCGGAAATAATCCCGGGAATAATAATAATTTGGGGGCTAATAATTCAGGAAATAATAACTCGGGGAATAAAAATTCGGGGATGAACTTGGGGAAAAATTCCGGCAATACACCCGGGAATAATTCCGGAAATAATAACTTGGGGATGAATTTGGGGAATAATTCTGGGAATAACCAGACGAATTCAGGGGGCAATTATGGGAATACCCCGAGCAGTAAGCAGATGAATTCGGGGGGCAATTCTGGGACCCCCTCGGGCAGCACCCAGCTGAATTCGGGGGGCAGTTTGGGCAGTAAGCAGATGAATTCGGGGGGCAGTTTGGGCAGTACCCAGCTGAATTCGGGGGGCAGTTTAGGCACCCCCTTGGGCAGTACCCAGCTGAATTCGGGGGGCAGTTTGGGCAGCACCCAGCTGAATTCGGGGGGCAGTTTGGGCAGTAAGCAGATGAATTCGGGGGGCAGTTTGGGCAGCACCCAGCTGAATTCGGGGGGCAGTTTGGGCAGCACCCAGCTGAATTCGGGGGGCAGTTTGGGCAGTACCCAGCTGAATTCGGGGGGCAGTTTAGGCACCCCCTTGGGCAGTACCCAGCTGAATTCGGGGGGCATTTTAGGGACCCCCTCGGGCAGCACCCCCGTGCCCAGCCCCGGGGTCACCCCCGGCCCCTCGGAGCGCGGCCGGCGCATCAAGAGCCTGCGGAAGAAGCTGCGCCAGGTGCAGGAGCTGCAGCAGCGCCTGGAGCGGGGGGCGCTGCCCGAGCCCAGCCGGGAGCAGCTGGACAAGCTGGGCCGGAGGGCGGCGCTGGAGGAGGAACTCAGGGCGCTGGAGCGGGACTCGGAGTGATGCGGGGTTTGGTGGGGGATTTTTTTAAAGGTTTTTTTTAAGTTATTTTTGGTTTTTTTTTCTTGGTTTGTTTTGGTTTTATTTTAGTTTTTTGTTTTGGTTTTATTTGGTTTTTCATTTTGTTTTATTTTGGGTTTATTTTGGTTTTTTTATTTTATTTTGGTTTTATTTTCGTTTTTTATCTGGTTTTATTTTGGTTTTATTTTGGTTTTTTATCTCATTTTGGTTTTATTTTAGTGTTTTATTTTATTTTGGTTTTATTTTAGCTTTTTATTTTATTTTATTTTGGTTTATTTTTGTTTTATTTTGTATTTTATCTTTGTTTTATTTTTTATTTCATTTTTGTTTCGTTTTATTTTATTTTTTGTTTATTTTTTATTTTATTTTTGGTTTCTTTTTTATTTTATTTTTGGTTTATTTATTTTTAAATTTTTTTTAATTTTTATTTTATTTTTATTTATTTCTATTTTATTTTGTTTTATTTTTTTATTTCATTTTTGTTTCATTTTTATTTCATTTTTGTTTCATTTTTATTTTTGTTTCATTTTTTTTAATTTTATTTTTGGACTCTTTATTTTACTTTACTTTATTTCATTTTATTTCATTTGTTTTGGTTTTATTAAATTTCGTTTACTTTATTTAATTTTGTTTTGGTTTCATTTCATTTTATTTTACTTTGTTTTACTTTATTTGTTTTAATTTTTATTTGATTTTATTTTTGTTTTATTTTGGTTTATTTCATTTTACTTTATTTACTTTATTTCATTTTATTTCATTTTATTTTACTTTATTTTGTTTTACTTTGATTTTATTTTGTTTTAGTTTATTTGTTTTACTTCATTTTATTTTGCTTTTTTTTTATTTTATTTTGTTCAATTTTGTTTTGTTTTGTTTATTTTTTTCCTTTATTATTTTATTTTCTTTTATTTTATGTTTTTTTCTGTTATTTTCTTTTAAATTTTCTTTTTTTTCATTTTAATTTTTCTTGGTTTAATTTTCTTGATTTGATTTGATTGATTTTTTGATTCCTTTATTTTAATTTTCTCTCTTTTTTTTTTTGCTTATTTTATTTTAATGTAATTTTTGTTTATTTTGTTTTATTTTTATTTTTATTTTGGTTTTTGTTTATTTTAATTATTTTATTTTCTTTTCCTTTTATTTTTATTATTTTATTTGATTATTTTATTTTCTTTTCGTTTTATTTTTATTATTTTTATTTTATTTTATTTTTATTTTTATTACTTTATTTACTGATTTATTTTTGTTTATTTTATTTTTTGTTTCTTTTTTTTGTTTCTTTTGATTTTATTTTGTTTTTTTCTTTTCGATTTTTTATTTTAATTTTTTTCTCCGTTTCATTTAATTTTTCCCCTAATTTTATTCCATTTTTTTTGTTCTCTCCGCGTCCTTCATCCCTCTCCTCTCCCTCTTTTTAACGGGATTTAAAATTGGGGTGAAAATCCACAAAAACGGGGCCGTGCCCCCTCCCCCCGCGCCCCTCCCCCCTCTCTGTGTCGCCGCCCCCTCCCCAAATTTTCTCTTTTTTGTCTTTTTTTGCTTCCGTTTTTCAGAGCGCTGGAGGAATAAAAAAAAAATCAGTGACTGAATGGGGGTCGGGGTGTTTGGGGGGTCCTGGGGAGGATTTGGGGGGTCCTGGGGGGATTTTGGGGGGTCCCAGAGGGGTTTGGGGGGGTTAGAGGGGGGACTTGGGGGTCCTGGGGGGGATTTTGGGGGGTCCTGGGGAGGATTTGGGGGGGTCCCAGGGGGGTTTGGGGGGTCCTGGGGGGATTTGGGGGATCCTTGGGGGTCCTGGGGGGGTTTGGACGGGGTCCCAGAGGGGGATTTTGGGGGTCCTGGGGGGATTTTGGGGGGTCCCAGAGGGGTTTGGGCGGGTTAGAGGGGGGACTTGGGGGTCCTGGGGGGGATTTTGGGGGGTCCTGGGGAGGATTTGGGGGGGTCCCAGGGGGGTTTGGGGGGTCCTGGGGGGATTTGGGGGATCCTTGGGGGTCCTGGGGGGGTTTGGACGGGGTCCCAGAGGGGTTTGGGGGGTCCTGGGGAGGATTTGGGGGGTCCCAGAGGGGTTTGAGGGGGGACTTGGGGGTCCTGGGGAGGATTTTGGGGGTCCTGGGGAGGATTTTGGGAGTCCCAGAGGGGTTTGGGGGGGTTAGAGGGGGGACTTGGGGGTCCTGGGGGGGATTTTGGGGGGATTTGGGGGATCCTGGAGGGATTTTGGGGGTCCCAGAGGAGTTTGGGGAGTCCTGAGGGGGATTTGGGGGATCCTTGGGGGGTCCTGTGGGGATTTTGGGGGGTCCCAGAGGGGTTTAGGGGGTCCTGGGGGGGATTTGGGGGGATCCCAGAGGGGTTTGGGGGATCCTTGGGAGGTCCTGAGGGGATTTTGGGGGGATTTGGGGGGTCCCAGAGGGGTTTGTGGGGGGTTTGAGGGGGGACTTGGGCTTCCTGGGGGGGATCCTTGGGGGGTTCTGGGGGATTTTGGGGGGTCCCAGAGGGGTTTGGGGGGTCCTGGGGGGGGATTTGGGGGATCCTTTGGGGTCCTGGGGAGGATTTGGGGGGGTTTGGGGAGTCCTGAGGGGGTCCTGGGGGAATTTGGGGGGTCCTGGGGGGGATTTTGGGGGGATTTGGGGGGTCCTGGGGGGATTTTGGGGGTCCCAGAGGGGTTTGGGGGGTCCTGGGGGGATTTGGGGGATCCTTGGGGGGTCCTGGGGGAATTTGGGGGGTCCTGGGGGGGATTTGGGGGTCCTGAGGGGATTGGATTGAAGAGGGTACAGGAGAGAGCCCAGACTGGGGGAACTGGGAGGGGGAACTGGGCAGAACTGGGAGCACTGGGTCCCACCGCGGTGATGGGACGGCGGCGTTGCCCCTTTAAAGGGCGTGCTTCTAACCATTTAAGGGGCGTGGCTATGCAGATTTAGAGGGTGGTGCCAATACTTTAAGGGGCGTGGTCGCACCATTTAAGGACAGGCTCATGCCGGTTAGGGGGCGTGGCCATTTCCTACTAAGGAGTGCGCCTCGAGCCGCTCGCGCGTGCTGCCCCACCCCGGAAGTGGGCGTGGCCAGCGCGGCGGCGGGCGGAAAGCGGAAGTGCGGCCGTGAGGGGACCCGGGGGGGGCGGCGGCACGACCCCCCCCCCCCCCCCCCCCGCCGGTACCGGCGTGGTGAGTCCAGAACCCCCCGGAACCACCTCCGAATCCCCCCGGTACCGGGGCTCCGAGCGTCCGGGGGGTCCCGGGGCCGGTTCGAGGCTCCCGGTTCCCTCCAGGAGGTCCCCGGGGCCGGATTTCGAGGTTCCCGGGGCCGTCGCGGGGGTTGATCAGGGGGATCCCCGGGTCCCGGGGGCCGTTCTGAGGGTCCCGGGGCTCGGTCGGGGGGGTCCCGGGACTCGGTTTGGAGGTCCCGGTGCGGCTCAGGGGGTCCCGGGGCTGTTCTGGGTGTCCCGGGGCTCGGTTGGGGCGTCCCGAGTCCATTTTGGGGGGTCCCGGTGGCGTTCTGGGGGTCCCGGTGCGGCTCAGAGGGTCCCGGGGCTCGGTTCGGGGGGTTCCCGGTGAGGCTCAGGGGGTCTCGCGTCCATTCAGGGGGTCCCGGGCCCGTTCTGGGTGTCCCGGGGCTCGGTTCCGGGGTCCCGGTGCCGTTCTAGGGGGTCCCGGTGCCGTTCTGGAGGGTCCTGGATCCATTCGGGAGGGTCCCAGGGCTCGGTTCGGGGGTCCCGGGTCTATTCTGGAGGGTCCCGGTGCCGTTCTGGGGGTCCCGGTGCTCGGCTCGGGGGTCCCGGTGCCGCTCCCTGGGTGCTGACCCCGCTGTCCCCTCTCTGTCCCCGGTGTCCCAGGGATGGCCGTGACCTAAGCCCGCAGCGATGGAGCGGCCCCGGTACCGGGAGGCGGCGCCCGGGGGCAGCGGGCCGGGGGGGGGCTCCAGCGCCGCCTGGAACGGGAGCTGCGGCCGCGCCCCCGGTGCCACCATCGGTACCGGCACCGGCACCGGCACGGCGGGGGGCGAGGACGACGAGAGCGGCGAGCGCGACATTGCTGTCCCCGGGCCCGGGAGTGTCCCCAATCCTGGGAGTGTCTCTGAGGGTGTCCCCAACACCGAGACTGTCTCCAGCCCTGAGGGTGTCCCCAGCCCCAGGAATGTCCCCGGGACCCCCAGGAGTGTCCCCAACCCTGAGGGTGTCCCCAACCCCGGAAGTGTCTCCGGTTCCTGGAGTGTCCCCAACTCTGGGAGTGTCCCCAACCCTGAGGGTGTTGCCAGCCCTGGTGGCGTCTCCGGTCCCGGGAGTGTCCCCAGCTCCGGGGATGTCCCCAACCCTGGGCTCCCCAGGAGGGTCCCCAACTCCCCGAGTGTCCCCAACACAAGGAGTGTCCCCAGTCCTGAGGGTGTCCCCAAATCCAGGAGTGTTCTCAGCCCCAGCAGTGTCTCCAACTCCGGGAGTGTCCCCAACCCTGAGGGTGTCCCCAACTCTGGGACTATCCCCGGTCCTGAGGGTGTCCCCAACCCCAGGACTGTCCCCACCCCCGGCAATGTCCCCAGCCCCGGGGGTCGCTGCAGCTGCCGGTGCCCCCCGGCCTCTCCCCCGAGCCCCTCCCGGGACCTCCCGTGCGGCCTCGGCTGCCGCCACCGCCGACCCCCGGCGCCCCCCGGCGCCCCCCGGCCACACCGCCACCACTGCGACAACCCCGGTGCCGCCACCGCCAGGGGACACCGCCACCACCACGAGGACCCCGGTGCCACCACGGCGGGGGGACACCGCGGGTCCCTGCGGGCGGCCCGGGCGGGGGTCGCGCTCTGCCTGCGCCTCCTCGGCGCCCTCCTTGCGCTGCTCTTCCTCCTCCTCCTCCTCCTCCGCTCCTTCCTCCGCGCCGCCTCCGCGGGGCTCCGCCGCTCCCGGGAGCTGCTGGCCGAGCGGTTCCGGCCCCGGGCGAGCCGCCGGGGTGGTGACAGCGACGAGGAGGTGACACGTTTGGTGACGATGGCCGAGGTGGCCGAGGAGGAGCTGGATCCGTTCCGGGTGCTCGGCGTGGAGCCCACGGCCACGGACGCGGAGCTGCGGAGGGCGTACCGGAGGCTGGCGGTGCTGGTGGGTGTTGGGGACATCCCCGAGGGGTTGGGGACGCTTTGGGGACGTTTTGGGGGACATCGAGGGTCGTGTCTTGGCAGGTGCACCCCGATAAAAGCCGCGACCCCCGGGCGGAGGCGGCGTTCAAGGTGCTGCGGGCGGGCTGGGAGAGGGTGAGCAGCCCCGAGAGGCGGCGCGAGTACCAGGCGTGAGTTTGGGGTGAAAATACCGAATTTTGGGGCATGAATCCTCAATTCTGGGATGTCAATCACAAATTTTGGGGTGGGAATCCCGGGTTTTGGGGTGGAAATACCGAATTTTGGGGCGTAAATGTCATATTTTGGGGTGTAAATCCCGGTTTTGTGGTGGGCTGGGAGAGGGTGAGCAGCCCCGAGAGGCAGCGCGAGTACCAGGCGTGAGTTTGGGGTGAAAATACCGAATTTTGGGGCATGAATCCTCAATTTTGGGATGTAAATCACAAATTTTGGGGTGGGAATCCCGGGTTTTGGAGTGTAAATCTCATATTTTGGGGTGTAAATCCCAGTTTTGTGGTGGGCTGGGAGAGGGTGAGCAGCCCCGAGAGGCAGCGCGAGTACCAGGCGTGAGTTTGGGGTGAAATCCCGGGTTTTGGGGTGTAAATCACAAATTTTGGTGTGGGAATCCCGGGTTTTGGGGTGGAAATACCGAATTTTGGGGCGTAAATCCCATATTTTTGGGTGTAAATCCCAGGTTTTGGGGTGGGCTGGGAGAGGGTGAGCAGCCCCGAGAGGCGGCGCGAGTACCAGGCGTGAGTTTGGGGTGAAATCCCGGGTTTTGGGGTGTAAATCACAAATTTTGGGGTGGGAATCCTGGGTTTTGGGGTGTAAATCCCATATTTTTGGGTGTAAATCCCGGTTTTGGGGTGGGCTGGGAGCAGGTGAGCAGCCCCGAGAGGCGGCGCGAGTACCAGGCGTGAGTTCGGGGTGAAAATACCGAATTTTGGGGCATGAATCCCCAATTTTGGGATGTCAATCACAAATTTTGGGATGGGAATTCCGTGTTTTGGGGCGGGAATCCTGTGTTTTGGGGTGTAAATCCCATATTTTTGGGTGTAAATCCCAGTTTTGGGGTGGGCTGGGAGCAGGTGAGCAGCCCCGAGAGGCGGCGCGAGTACCAGGCGTGAATTTGGGGCGTGAACCCTGAATTTTGGGGCAGGAACCCCTGATTTTGGGGTGTAAATCTCATATTTTGGGGCGAGGATCCCGGATTTTGGAGTGGGAATCCTGGGCGGGGATTGTGGTTTCGGGGCAACGGGACCTCCGGTTTTGGGTTCAGAATCCCAGGTTTTGGGGGTGAATCTCAGGTTTTGGGGTGCCAATCCTGTATTTGGGGTGCCAATCCCATATTTTGGGTTCCAATCCCATATTTTGGGTATTAATTCCCATGTTTTGGGTGCAGGAAGCAGCTGGCGCAGGGGGAGCTGGCGCGGGCGCTGGGCGCGTTCCTGGTGCTGTCATTCTCATTTTTAGGGCTGTATATCCCATTTTTGGGGTTCCAATCCCATATTTTGGGTTCCAATCCCATTTTTTGGGGTGCCAATCCCATGTTTTGGGTTCCAATCCCATATTTTGGGTTCTAATTCCCCGTTTTTGTGTCCCAGGAAGCAGCTGGCGCAGGGGGAGCTGGCGCGGGCGCTGGGCGCGTTCCTGGTGCTGTCATTCTCATTTTTAGGGCTGTATATCCCATTTTTGGGGTGCCAATCCCAAGTATTTGGGTTCCAATTCCATATTTTGGGGTTCCAATCCCATTTCCAGGGGTTCCAATCCCATATTTTGAGTTCTAATTCCCCGTTTTTGTGTCCCAGGAAGCAGCTGGCGCAGGGGGAGCTGGCGCGGGCGCTGGGCGCATTCCTGGGCCGGCTGCAGGAGGAGCTCAGGGACGCCATGGACGCCATGGGCTGCACCCGCTGCGGGGGGCGCCACAGGTGGGGACAACGGGGACACTGTGGGGACACCTGGGACACTGCAGGGACAATGGGGACACTGTGGGGACACCTGGGACACTGTGGGGACACCTGTGACACTGCAGGGACAATGGGGACACTGCAGGGACAGTGGGGACACTGCGGGGACAGTGGGGACTGCAGGGACAATGGGGACACTGTGGGACACCTGTGACACTGCAGGGACAATGGGGACTGCAGGGACAATGGGGACACTGTGGGACACCTGTGACACTGCAGGGACAATGGGGACACTGCAGGGACAGTGGGGACACTGCGGGGACAGTGGGGACTGCAGGGGCAATGGGGACACTGTGGGACACCTGTGACACTGCAGGGACAATGGGGACTGCAGGGACAATGGGGACACTGTGGGACACCTGTGACACTGCAGGGACAATGGGGACTGCAGGGACAATGGGGACACTGTGGGGACACCTGTGACACTGCAGGGACAATGGGGACACTGCAGGACACTGTGGGACAGTTGGGACGCCATGGGCTGCACCTGCTGTGGGGGGCGCCACAGGTGGGGGCGCCGGGGGGACAATGGGGACACTGTGGGACACCTACGACACTGCAGGGACAGTGGGGACACTGTGGGGACAGTGTGGGGACACTGTGACACTGCAGGGACAATGGGGACACTGTGGGGACAGTGGGGACACTGCGGGGACAGTGGGGACTGCAGGGGCAATGGGACTAATAGGGACGCCATGGGCTGCACCCGCTGCGGGGGGCGCCACAGGTGGGGACACCGTGGGGACACTGTGGGACACCTGTGACACTGCAGGGACAATGGGGACAGTGCTGGGACAATGGGGACTGCAGGGACAACGGGGACACTGTGGGACACCTGTGACACTGCAGGGACAATGGGGACACCGCAGGGACACCTGTGACACTGCAGGGACAACGGGGACACTGTGGGACACCTGTGACACTGCAGGGACAATGGGGACACCGCAGGGACACCTGTGACACTGCAGGGACAATGGGGACACTGTGGGACACCTGTGACACTGCAGGGACAATGGGGACAGTGCTGGGACAATGGGGACTGCAGGGACAACGGGGACACTGTGGGACACCTGTGACATTGCAGGGACAATGGGGACACCGCAGGGACACCTGTGACACTGCAGGGACAATGGGGACACTGTGGGACACCTGTGACACTGCAGGGACAATGGGGACAGTGCTGGGACAATGGGGACTGCAGGGACAACGGGGACACTGTGGGACACCTGTGACACTGCAGGGACAATGGGGACACCGCAGGGACACCTGTGACACTGCAGGGACAACGGGGACACTGTGGGACACCTGTGACACTGCAGGGACAATGGGGACACCGCAGGGACACCTGTGACACTGCAGGGACAATGGGGACACTGTGGGACACCTGTGACACTGCAGGGACAATGGGGACACCGCAGGGACACCTGTGACACTGCAGGGACAACGGGGACACTGTGGGACACCTGTGACACTGCAGGGACAATGGGGACACCGCAGGGACACCTGTGACACTGCAGGGACAATGGGGACACTGTGGGACACCTGTGACACTGCAGGGACAATGGGGACAGTGCTGGGACAATGGGGACTGCAGGGACAACGGGGACACTGTGGGACACCTGTGACACTGCAGGGACAATGGGGACACCGCAGGGACACCTGTGACACTGCAGGGACAATGGGGACACTGTGGGACACCTGTGACACTGCAGGGACAATGGGGACAGTGCTGGGACAATGGGGACTGCAGGGACAACGGGGACACTGTGGGACACCTGTGACACTGCAGGGACAATGGGGACACTGCAGGGACACCTGTGACACTGCAGGGACAATGGGGACAGTGCTGGGACAATGGGGACTGCAGGGACAATGGGGACACTGTGGGACACCTGTGACATTGCAGGGACAATGGGGACACCTGGGACAGTGAGGATAGTGGTGGCACTGTGGGGACAATGGGGACAGTGAGGACATTGGGGACAGCAGGGACACTGGGGATAGTGGGGACACTGTGGGGACAGTGGGGACAGCACTGGGGGGGACATTGTGTGACATGTCCTGGAGGGTTGGGGTGACTCTGCGTCCTGGGGGTCTCACTGTGTCAATGGAGATGTCACGGTGTCCCCAATGTCCCTGGGGGTGTCACAGTGTCCCTGTGGGTGTCACAGTGTCCCCAATGTCCCTGGGGGTGTCCCAGGGTCCCCAGTGTCCCTGTGGGTGTCACAGTGTCCCCAATGTCCCTGGGGGTGTCCCAGGGTCCCCAGTGTTCCTGTGGGTGTCACAGTGTCCCCAATGTCCCTGGGGGTGTCCCCGTGTCCCTGTGGGTGTCACAGTGTCCCCAATGTCTCTGGGTGTGTCACAGTGTCCCTGTGGGTGTCCCAGTGTCCCCAATGTCCCTGTGGGTGTCACAGTGTCCCTGTGGGTGTCACAGTGTCCCCAATGTCCCTGTGGGTGTCCCAGGGTCCCCAATGTCCCTGTGGGTGTCACAGTGTCCCTGTGGGTGTCCCAGTGTCCCCAATGTCTCTGTGGGTGTCCCAGTGTCCCCAATGTCCCTGGGTGTGTCACAGTGTCCCTGTGGGTGTCACAGTGTCCCCAGTGTCCCTGTGGGTGTCCCAGTGTCCCCAATGTCCCTGGGGGTGTCCCAGTGTCCCTGTGGGTGTCACAGTGTCCCCAATGTCTCTGGGTGTGTCCCAGTGTCCCTGTGGGTGTCACAGTGTCCCCAATGTCCCTGGGGGTGTCCCAGTGTCCCTGTGGGTGTCACAGTGTCCCCAATGTCCCTGGGGGTGTCACAGTGTCCCTGTGGGTGTCACAGTGTCCCCAATGTCCCTGTGGGTGTCACAGTGTCCCCAATGTCCCTGGGTGTGTCACAGTGTCCCTGTGGGTGTCCCAGTGTCCCCAATGTCCCTGGCGGTGTCCCAGTGTCCCTGGGGGTGTCCCAGTGTCCCTGTGGGTGTCACAGTGTCCCCACTGTCCCCGCAGGCGGTTCCAGCTGGACAGGGACCCGCGCGGTGCCCGCTGGTGTGGCCCGTGCGGGGGGTGGCACGCGGCCGACGAGGGTGACCTGTGGGCAGAGTCCAGCCTGATGGGCCTCAAGGTCACCTACCTGGCCCGCATGGACGGCCACATCTACGACGTCACCGGTGAGGGGACACCTGGTGGGGGGACACCTGGGGGGTGACACAGAGCACGGGGACACCTGGTGGGGCACGGCCATGGAGACAGGGGTGACACACACAGAATGGGGGGTGACAGATCCCTGGGGTCACCATCCTGGGGACCTCTCTGGTGTCACCATGACCAAGGGGACGCCATGACCAGGTCACTCTGGGGGACACCATGACCATCCTGGGGACCTCTCTGGTGTCACCATGACCAAGGGGACGCCATGACCAGGTCACTCTGGGGGACGCCATGACCATCCTTGGGGACCTCTCTGGTGTCACCATGACCAAGGGGACGCCATGACCGGGTCACTCTGGGGGACACCATGACCATCCTGGGGACCTCTCTGGTGTCACCATGACCAAGGGGACGCCATGACCGGGTCACTCTGGGGGACGCCATGACCAAGGGGTCTCTGGGGACATCGTGACCGGGGTGGTCTCTCTGGTGTCACCATCCTGGGGGTCTCTGTGGTGTCACCATGACCAAGGGGACACCGTGAACGGGTCACTCCTGGGTGGTCACCATGACCATCCCAGGGTCTTTGGTGTCACCATGACCAAGGTGACACCATGAGCATCCCCAGGAGTCTCTGGGGACACCATGACTGGGTGTCCCTGATGTCACCATGACTATCCCTGGGGGTCTCTCGTGTCACCATGACCAAGGGGTCTCTGGGGACACCACAACCAGGGTGGTCTCTCTGGTGTCACCATGACCAAGGGGACACCATGTCCCGGTCACTCTGGGGGACACCATGACCATCCTTGGGGACCTCTCTGGTGTCACCATCCTGGGGGTCTCTCTTATGTCACCATGACCAAGGGGACACCATGACCAGGTGTCTTTGGTGTCACCATGACCAGGGATCTCTCTGGTGTCACCATGGCCAAGGGGACACCATGACCATCCCAAGGGTGTCCCTGGTGTCACCATCTTGGAGACCTCTCTAGTGTCACCATCCCTGGGATGTCCTTGGTGCCACCATGACCTGAGGGACACCATGCCCAGGTGACTCTGGTGTCACCATCTCAGGGATCTCCCTGATGTCACCATGACCTGAGGGACACCATGCCCAGGTGACTCTGGTGTCACCATCTCAGGGATCTCCCTGATGTCACCATAACCAGAGGGACACCATGCCCATTTGACTCTGGTGTCGCCATCTCAGGGATCTCCCTGATGTCACCATGACCTGAGGGACACCATGCCCAGGTGACTCTGGTGTCACCATCTCAGGGATCTCCCTGATGTCACCATAACCAGAGGGACACCATGCCCATTTGACTCTGGTGTCGCCATCTCAGGGATCTCCCTGATGTCACCATGACCTGAGGGACACCATGCCCAGGTGACTCTGGTGTCACCATCTCAGGGATCTCCCTGATGTCACCATGACCAGAGGGACACCATGACCATCCCTGGGGTGTCCCTGGTGCCACCATGACCAAGGGGACACCATGACCAGGTGTCTTTGGTGTCACAATGCCCAGGGATCTCCCTGATGTCACCATGACCAGAGGGACACCATGACCATCCCTGGGGTGTCCCTGGTGTCACCATCCTGGAGACCTCTCGTGTCACCATCCCTGGGATGTCCTTGGTGCCACCATGACCAGAGGGACACCATGCCCAGGTGACTCTGGTGTCACCATCTCAGGGATCTCCCTGGTGCCACCCTGACCCAGGGGACACCATGACCATCCCTGGGGTCTCTCTGGTGCCACCCTGACCGTGTCCCCTGCGTGTCCCCAGAGTGGGCGGGCTGCCAGCGCGTGGCCATCTCCCCGGACAGCCACCGTGTCCCCTACCACCTGTCCTTCGGCGCCAGGACAGCCACGCCGGCCGGACGCCAGCGGTCAGTGCTGGGGGGGTGTCCTGGGGGTGTCCTGGGGTGTCCCCACGTGTGTCCCTGAGGGTGTCCAGGTGTGTCTGGGGGTGTTTAGGGGTGTCCAGGGGATGTCTAGGGGTCTCCAGGAATGTCCAGGGGGTGTCCAGGGGGGTCCCCAAGGGTGTCCAGGTGTATCCAGGGTGTGCCCAGGTGTGCCCAGGTACATCTAGGTGTGCCCAGGGGGTGTCTAGGGAATGCCCAAGTGTGCCCAGGTACATCCAGGCAGTGCCCAGGCAGTGCCCAGGTACATCCAGGTGTGCCCAGGCAGTGCCCAGGTACATCCAGGTGTGCCCAGGTGTATCCAGGCAGTGCCCAGGTACATCCAGGCGGTGCCCAGGTACATCCAGGTGTGCCCAGGTGTATCCAGGCAGTGCCCAGGTACATCTAGGTGTGCCCAGGCAGTGCCCAGGTACATCCAGGTGTGCCCAGGTGTATCCAGGCAGTGCCCAGGTACATCCAGGCGGTGCCCAGGTACATCCAGGTGTGCCCAGGTACATCCAGGCAGTGCCCAGGTGTATCCAGGTGTGCCCAGGTACATCCAGCTGTGCCCAGGTGTATCCAGGCAGTGCCCAGGTACATCCAGGCGTGCCCAGGTACATCCAGCTGTGCCCAGGTGTATCCAGGCAGTGCCCAGGTACATCCAGGTGTGCCCAGGTACATCCAGGTGTGCCCAGGTCCATCCAGCCGTACCCCAACCCCTTTTCTCTCTCCCCCCAGGGCCCCCCCCAAGGGCAGCCCCCCGACCCCCGCTGACCTCCAGGATTTCCTGGCCCGCGTTTTCCAGGGAAATCCGGGCCCAGAGCCCGGGGGGGCTTTCCCCGCCCCCCCCGGGGCCGCGGGACCCCCCCAGGGACCCCTCCAAAACCAAGGGGGCCCCCCCAGGGGGGACACGAAGCACAAGAGGAGGAAGAAGGGGAGGCGGCCGCTGCCGCGATGAGGAGACCCCCACCCCAAAACAAAAAAAAAAAGGGCTTGAAATAAAAAAATCTATTTTTTTTCTTTTTTTTTCGGGTTTTTTAAAGAAAATCGAGTGGTGTTTTTTGTGTTAAAAATAAAAAAGGGCGGTGGAAAGAGGGGGGGATTTGGGGGTCCCCAAAGCGCCGGGAGCTCCCGGTTGAGCCACTTCCGTTCCGCGCCGGAAAAAGAATGACGTCACTGACGGCGCCGCAGTGGGCGCCGCTATGTTGGAGGTTCCTGTGAGGCCTCAGAGTGCGGCGCCATCTTGAGTGTGGGCGGGGCCCTGCTGGGGGCGCTTCAGGCGCCGTTAACGGGGTGATGGCGGGTCCGGAGCGGCCGGGACGGAGCCGTGGGGTGGGGGCGTGGCCGGTTAGTGCGGGAGACACGGCCTGGCCTGACGGAGAGGCGGCCACTCCCATCATGGCGGCTGCCACATCCAACATGGCGCCCTCCACGTCCAACATGGCGGCATCCACATCCAACATGGCGGCCTCAATCCAACATGGCGGCCGCAATCCATCATGGCGGCCGCCCCACCCAAAAAGAATTATTTTAATAACTCGAATTATTTTAATTACTCTAGTTGTTGATTATTTAAATTACTTAAGTTATTTTAATTATTAATGAGGGAGGTTGTGGTTCAGGAGCTGCAGGAAGCAGGGTGAAATACATGATACTACTTAATAACAATGCGAATAAATTAAATCATAATCAATTTAATAACGGAATAAACCAGCAGCCATTGGGAGCCGCACCTGGAGAGGGAAACTCTGGAATATTCTGGAAAATTACCCCAAATTTGTGCTTTGCACCCCTGGGTACAGGACAATAATTAATGAGCAAACTTACAATAAACAATTAATAAAAAGTATTTAATACATAATAGTTTAATTAAATAACTACAACAGAAGCAATTTTTACCTAATAAATAGATAATTAACAGGTTAAGTCATAGCAAATAATATATTTTGATAAACAAAAATGTCACAAGGAATATAACAACATTATAAACGATAAGCACATAATAAATAGAGCTACTAGATAATACTTGTCTAAATCTATCTAGGAATACCAATAGCCCAATAGACTGAGATAATTTTTAATAATTAATTACGCCCGAGTCCCTCAATGACCCCGCTCTGGTCGCGGCCACACCTCCCGGAAGTCTGCTTTCCCGCCCTCTCTTTCCATTGGCCGCCGCTTAGCACTTCCCTATTTCTATTGGTTCACCTGCACGTCAGTCAATACCGCCCCGCCCCCAGCGCCCGACCGACCAATTCATCGGCGGATGCTGCCGGCAGCGCTGACCAATGGCGAGCGGCGCGTTTGGGCGGGGCGGCGGAGGACGCGCGGCGCTGATTGGCCGGGGCGGTGTGAGGGGCGGGGTCGGCGAGGGGGTGACAAGATGGCGGCGGAGCCGGTGGAGCTGCACAAGCTGAAGGTGCCGCTGGGAGCGGGAGCGGGGCCGGGAAAACGGCGGGGAGACAGCCGGGACAGAGCCCCGGAACCGGGACAGCCCCGGGGGGAGCGGGGACAGAGCGCGGCAAGCGGGACAGCCCCGGGAGGAGCGGCTGGGACTGAGGGAACGCGCGGCGGGGAACGGCGGGGAAACGGGCCGGGGGCTCTGGGGGGACCATGCGGGTCTGAGGGGGCTCTGAGGGTCCTTGAGGAGGGTCTGAGGCTTTGAGGTAGCCCTGAGGGGGCTCTGAGGTGGTCTTGAGGGAGTTCTAAGGGGGGCCGTGAGGGTCTGAGGGGACTTTGAGGTGTCCTAAGGGGGATCTGGGAGGGTTTTGAGGGGATTCTGAGGGTCTGAGGGGCCCCTGAGGGGGGGTCTGAGGGGGATCTGAGGGGACTTTGAGGGGTCTCTGAGGGGGCTCTGAGGGTCTGAGGGGGATCTGGGGGAGTTTGGGGGGTCCTGAGGGGGATATGGGGGGCTCTGAAGGGTTCTGAGGGAGCTCTGAGGGTCTGAACAGACCCTGGGGGGCTCTGAGGGTCCCCTGAGGGGGTCCTGAGGGGGATATGGGGGTCCCTGAGGGGGTCCTGAGTGGGGGTCCTGAGGGGGATTTGGAGGCATCTCAAGGTGTCTGAGGAGTCCTGAGAAGGATCTTTGGGCCTGTGAGGGCCCCTGAGGGGGTCGTGGAGTTGGTCTGAGGAGTCCTGAGGGGATCCTGGGTGGGGTCCTGAGGGGGATCTGGGGGATCTTTGGGTCTGAGGGGATCCTGGGTGGGGGTCCTGAGGGAGATCTGGGGGGCCCTGAGGGGGATCTCAGAGTCTGAGGGGATAGTTGGGTCTGAGAGGGTCCTGGGGGGCTCTGAGGGTCTGAAGGGACCCTGAGAGTCCTTTGGGGGGTTCCTGGATGGGGGGTCCTGAGGGATCCCTGAGGGGGTCCTGGGTGAGGGTCCTGAGGGGGATCTGGGGGTCCCTGAGGGGGATCTGGGTGGGGGTCCTGTGTGGGGGTCCTGAGGGGACTTTGATGGGGCCCTGAGGGGATCCCGGGTGGGGGTCCCTGGGGGGATTCTGAGGGGGGTCCTGGGTGGGGGTCCTGGGTGGGGGTCCTGAGGGGGATGTGGGGTTCCTGGATGGGGTGTCCTGAGGGATCCCTGAGGGGGTCCTGGGTGGGATCTGGGTGGGGGGTCCCTGAAGGGGATCTGGGGGTCCCTGAGGGGGATCTGGGGGTCCCTGGGCGCTCCTGTATGGGGGTCCTGAGGGGATTCTAGCGTTGGTCTGAGGGGGGTCCTGAGTGGGGGTCCTGAGGAGGAGATCTGGGGGATCCCTGAGGGGGTCCTGAGGGGGTCCCTGGGGGCTCCTGTATGGGGGGTCCTGGCGTTGGTCTGAGGGGGTCCTGGGTGGGGGTCCTGGGCAGGGGTCCTGAAGGGGATCTGGGGGTCCCTGAGGGGGATCTGGGGATCCCTGGGGGCTCCTGTATGGGGGGTCCTGAGGAGATCCTGGCGTTGGTCTGAGGGGGTCCTGGGGGAGGGGGTCCTGGGGGGGGGGTCCTGGGCAGGGGTCCTGAGGGGGATTTGGGGGATCCCTGAGGGGGATCCGGGGGTCCTTTATGGGGGTCCCCTGAGGGGGATCTGGGGGCTCCTGTATGGGGATCCTGAGGGGATCCTGGCATTGGTCTGAGGGGGTCCTGGGGGAGGGGGTCCTGGGGGGGGGGTCCTGGGCAGGGGTCCTGAGGGGGATTTGGGGGATCCCTGAGGGAGATCTGGGGGTCCTTTATGGGGGTCCCTGAGGGGGGATCCGGGGCTCCTTTACGGGGGTCCCTGAGGTGCCCCCTCCGTGCCCAGCTGGCAGAGCTGAAGCAGGAGTGCCTGGCGCGGGGCCTGGAGGCCAAGGGCAACAAGCAGGACCTGATCCACCGGCTGCAGGCCTACCTGGAGGAGCACGGTGGGTGCCCCCCAAAACCCCCCCAAAAACCCCACAGAATCCCCCAAAAAATCCTCGTTTTCCTGGGATTTCAAAGAATTTTGACCTTTCCCTGCTTTTGTTTCCCAGCTGAGGAGGAGCCCAACGAGGAGGACGTGCTGGGAGAGGAGATTGAGGTGAGGATTTTTGGGGATCATCCCGATTTTCTGGGGGGGTTTGGGGTGGGAACGAGGGCAGCATTCCAGAATTTCGATCGTTTCTGCATTTTCACCGTCTTTTTTGGGGGTTAAATCCGTTGGGTTTGGTGCCTGGGATGCTCCTGCTTTTCTGTGGGTTTTCCATGGATTTCCCATGGATTTTATGGGTTTTTATGGATTTCCCATTAATTTTATGGGGTTTTTATTGATTTCCCATGGATTTTCTGGATTTTCCATGGATTTCCCATGGATTTTATGGGTTTTTTATTGATTTCCCATGGATTTTCTGGATTTTCCATGGATTTTCTCATGGATTTTATGGGTTTTTTATGGATTGTCCATGGATTTTCCATATTGTCCATGGATTTTATGGTTTTTTATGGATTTCCCATTAATTTTATGGGGTTTTTATGGATTTTCCATGGATTTCCCATGGATTTGATGGGTTGTCCATGGATTTCCCATGGATTTTATGGGTTTTCCATGGATTTCCCATGGATTTTATAGGTTTTTCCCTGGATTTTCCATGGATTTCTCAGTGATTTTATGGATTTCCCATGGACTTTCCATGGATTTCCTATGGTTTTCCCATGTGGAATTCCCACATGGATTTCCCATATTTTCCATGGATTTTATGGGTTTTCCATGGATTTTTATGGATTTCCCCATGGGTTTTATGGATTTCCCATGGATTTCCCATGGATTTTATGGGTTTTTTATGGATTTTCCATGGACTTTCCATATTTTCCATGGATTTTATGGTTTTTTAATGGATTTTTCATGGATTTTCCATGGATTTTATGGGTTTCCCATGGATTTCCTGTGGATTTCCCATGGATTTCCCATGGATTTTATGGGTTTTTTATGGATTTTCCATGGACTTCCCGTATTTTCCATGAATTTTATGGTTTTTTTTATGGATTTTTCATGGATTTTCCATGGATTTTTTCATATTTCCCATGGATTTTCCATGGATTTTCTATGAATTTTATGGGTTTTTTTCTGGATTTCCCATGGATTTTCATGGATTTTATGGATTTTCAGGAGGAGGAGCCCAAGGCGCCGGAGCCGCCGTGAAGGTGGAGGAGGCGCCGGCGAAGTCGCCCGACGTGTGAGTGAGGAGAATTCCCAGGAAAACCTGGGGAATGAGGGGCTGGAAAAGGGGAAATTTTGGGAATTTTGGGAATCCCAAATCCCTCTGGAGCATTCCCTGATTTTTTCCCCAAACTTTTTCCAGGATCCAGGAGAAAAAAGTGGTGAAAATCTCCTCAGAAATCTCCCAGATGGAGGTAAAACCACTGGAAAATCCCAATTTTCTCCAAAAAAAACCCCCAATTTTCTCCAAAAAAACCCCCAATTTTTTTGCTGGAAAATCCCAATTTCCCGCCGTAAATTCCCCAAAATTCCCTTTTTTATTTCCCCCATTTCCCAGAGGATGCAGAAAAGGGCCGAGAGGTTCAACGTCCCCGTCAGCCTGGAGAGCAAAAAGGCAGCGAGGGCAGCACGGTGAGCACGGAAAATTTGGGAATTTTGGGGGGAAAATTGGGAATTCTGGAGGAAATTTCGGAATTTTAGAAGGATATTTGGGGATTTGAGGGAGAAATTTGAGATTTTGAGGGGAAATGTTGGAATTTTGGGGGGAAAATTGGGAATTTTGGGGGGGAAATTTGGGGATTTGAGGGAGAAATTTGTGAATTCTGGGGGGAACATTGGGAATTTTAGGGGCAAATTTGGGAATTTTGGGAGGAAATTTGGGAATTTGGGATGGGATCCCTGCCTGGAGGGGCTGGGCTGGAATTTCCAGAGGATTCCAAATCCTTGGGATCCGGGAATTTTGGGGAAAAGGGATTTTGTGGGATTTTGCAGGAATTTTTTGGGATTTTGTGGGATTTTGCAGGAATTATTGGGAATTTTGCAGGACTTTGTGGGAATTGAAGGATTTTTTTGGGAATCTTGTGGGATTTTTGGGTGTTTTGGAATTGTTCATCCCTGGGATTGGGGAACTCTGGGAAAAGGGAATTTATGGGAATTTTGGCCCTAATTCCCAAAATTCCTGCCCTAATTCCCTTTTTTTTTTCATTCCCACAGGTTTGGCTTGGCCACAATTCCCACAAAAGGTGAGGAGAGAGAATTCCTGGAATGGGAATTTTGGGAATTCCTGAAATTCTGGAATTCCCTGGAATTGCAAATCCCCCTTTTCCCACATTTCTGGGAGCAGGAATTTTGGGATTTGATGGAAAAAACCCCAAATTTTCCTGGATTTTTCTGAGATTTCTCATCCCAAAAAAATCCAGGCTTGGGATTTTCCTGGAATTCCTGAGAACTCCCAGTTCTGGGCTGAAATTTGGGAATTTTGGCCAATTCCTGATGGGGATTTTCCTCCTTTTCCAGGGCTCTCAGGAGACTCCAAACCCACGGTGAGGAAATCTGGGATTCCCAGGGAATTTGGGGAATTTGGGTGGAATTTGGGGAATTCCAATGGGAAATTTGGGAATTTGGGTGGAATTTTGGGGAATTTGAGTGGAATTTTGGGGAATTTGGGTGGAATTTGGGGAATTCCAATGGGAATTTGGGTGGAATTTGGGGGGATTCCCATGGGAATTTGGGGAATTTGGGTGGAATTTTTGGAATTTGGGGGAGGATTCCCATGGAATTTTGGGAATTCCCATCTAATTTTGGGAATTTGGGTGAAATTTTGGGAATTCCGTTGGGAATTGGGGTGGAATTTTGAGGATTTAGGGTGGAATTTTGGGAATTCAGTTGGAATTTTGGGTCGAAATTCCCCAAAAAAAACCCCTGGAATTTTCCCAGGATCAGCCCCTCTGGAAAAGCCCCCAGAGCTGAGGAATTTTGGGAATTTTTGGAAGTCCCAGGGATCCCAAATCCCAAATTTCCTTTTCCCAGATAAACCTGGAGAAGCTCAAGGAAAGGGCCCAGAGGTTCGGCGCTCAACGTCTCCTCCCTCTCCAAGAAGGTGAGATTTGGGAATTTGGGGAATTTTGGGGAATTTTGGGGATTTTTGGGAATGCCAGGGCGCTCTCCCCACCCCAGGATTATCCCAAAATTCCAAATTTTCCAGCCCCGGGTTGGGTTTTTTGAGAATTTGGGTTTCTGGGAATTGGGATATTTTGGGAATTTTGGGGATTGGGGTTTTTGGGAATTTTGGGGTTTGGGTTTTTGGGAATTGGGATTTTGGATTTTGGGATTTTTGGAATTTTGGGGTTTTGAGGATTGGGTTTTTTGGGAATTTTGGGGTTTGGGTTTTTGGGAATTTTGGAGTTTTGCGGATTGGGGTTTTTTGAAATTTGGGTTTATTGGGAATTGGGGTTTTGGGGAATTTTGGGGTTTGGGTGTTTTGAAATTTTGGGTTTTTTTTGGATTGGGATTTTTGGGAATTTTAGGTTTTTGAGGATTGGGTTTTTTGGGAATTTTGAGTTTGGGTGTTTTGGAATTTTGGGGTTTGGGAATTTTGCGTTTTTGGGAATTTTAGGATTTGGGATTATTGGGAGTTGGGATTATTGGGAATTTTGGGTTTTTTTGAATTTTGTGGTTTGGGGGATTGGGGGTTTTTGGGAATTGAGGTTTTGGGAATTTGGGGTTTTTGGGAATTTGGGGTTTTTGGGGATTTTGGGTTTTTGGGAATTGGGTCATCCAGGGATAGTGGCAATGTTTCCCTGCCCTGGAATGGGATCAGGAGGGATCCCAGGGATCCATTCCCAACATTCCCAACATTCCCAATCCTGATCCCATTCCCGATCCCGTTCCCAGAGTGAGGAGGATGAGAAGCTGAAGAAGAGGAAGGAAAGGTTCGGGATCGTCACCGGGGCCGGCGCCGCTGAGGACTCCGAGGTGGGGCTGGAAATTCCCGGGATTTGGGGTCAGAATTCCGGGATTTGGGGACAAGAATTCCCAGGATTTGGGGACAAGAATTCCCAGGATTTGGGGTCAGGAATTCCTGGGATTTGGGTCAGGAATTCCCAGGATTTGGGGCTATATTTCAGGGATTTGGGGTCGGGAATTGCCGGGATTTGGGGCTGGAATTCCCGGGATTTGGGGCCGGAATTCCTGGGATTTGGGGTCAGGAATTGCCAGGATTTGGGACCAGAATTCTGGGATTTGGGGTCAGGAATTGCCGGGATTTGGGACCAGAATTCTGGGATTTGGGGTCAGGAATTGCCGGGATTTGGGGCTGGAATTCCTGGGATTTGGGGTCAGGAATTGCCAGGATTTGGGGCTGGAATTCCCGGGATTTGGGGCCGGAATTCCTGGGATTTGGGGTCAGGAATTGCCGGGATTTGGGGTCAGGAATTCCTGAGATTTGGGGCTGGAATTCCTGAGATTTGGGGTCAGGAATTGCTGGGATTTGGGGCTGGAATTTCTGGAATTTGGGGTCAGGAATTACCAGGATTTGGGGCTGGGAGTTCCCAGGATTTGGGGTCAGGAATTCTGTGATTTGGGGTCAAGAATTCCTAGGATTTGGGGTCGGGAATTCCCGGGATTTGGAGCTGGGAATTCCCAGGATTTGGGGCTGGGAAATTCCTAAGATTTGGAGCCAGGAATTCCTGGGATCCCTGGGCTCGCCCCAAAACCACCTCCCAATTCCCAACCCTTGAGAGATCCAGGGATTTTGGGGGGGATTTTCCATGGATTCAGGGCACATTTTCCACAGATTTAGGGAGTTTTTTCCATGGATTTGGGTCCAATTTTCCAGGGATTTTGGGGTCTTTTTCCCAGGAATTTTGGGGCCTTTTCGCCAGGAATTCAGGCTTTGGAATTCCCTGTGTTTTGTACCATTTTTGCTCAGGAAAACCCCCCCAAATCCCGGGATTTTCCCACATTTTGGGATCAAAAATTTCCCCATTCCCACCCCTTCCGTCTCCCTCTCTTTCCCGGGATTCTCCTCATGGAATTTCTGGAATTTTCTCTCTTTTGGGCCTTTCCCAAATCCAGGCAAAGAAGCGGAAAAGGGCGGAAAGGTTCGGGATCGTCTGAGGTGCTCCGGCCTCTCCTCAGGTCAGGAATTTTTCCCTTTTCCCCCATTCCCGATTTTCCATGGAATTTCCAAACCCCCCACCCAGGGAATTCTCCTTTCCTTGGAGGATTTTGCTCCTCAGTTTTTTGAATTTTTTTCCTGAAAAATGGAAGGGAAAAGGAGGAGCTGAGCTTGGGAGGGAGGGAGTTCCCAAATCCTGGGCACAATTCCCGAAATGTCGGCGTTTTCCATGGATTTGGGGGGTGTTTTCCAGGGATTTGGGAGCTCTTTTTCCAGGGATTTTAGGATGTTTTTTTCCAGAGATTTTGGGGCTGTTTTTCCAGGGATTTTGGGGCTGTTTTCCCAGGAATTTGGGATATTTTTCCAGGGATTTTGGGGCCATTTTTCCAAGGAATTTGAGGTTGTTTTTCCAGGTATTTTGGGGTTGTTTTTCCAGGGATTTGTGGCCATTTTCTCAGGGATTTGGGGGCTCTTTGTCCAGGGATTTGGGGTTATTTTTCCAGGAATTTTGGGGTGTTTTTCCATGAATTTGGGGCTGTATTTCCAGGTATTTTGGGGCTCATTTTCCAGGAATTTGGAGCTCTTTTCCCAGAGATTTTGGGGTGGTTTTCCATGAATTTGGGGCCATTTTCCCAGGGATTTTGGGGCTGTTTTCCCAGGAATTTGGGGTTATTTTTCCAGGGATTTGTGGCCATTTTCCCAGGGATTTGGGGCTCATTTTCCAGGGATTTTAGGGTTGTTTTCCCAGGGATTTTGGGTTAATTTTCCAGGGATTTGTGGCCACTTCCCCAGGAACTTGTGGCCATTTTTCCAGGTATTTGTGACCGTTTTCCCATGGATTTTGGGCTGTTTTCCCATGGATTTTGGGGGGATTCACGGAGCAGCTCCCCTGGGAATCACGCCATCCCAACCCCGTGGGATTTTTGGGATTTTCCCATGAGATCCAAGCAGCAATTCCAGAGATTTCTTGGATTTCCAGGTGGGCCTTGCCTGAACCCTTCCCCTGTTGAAGACTCGAGCTGCCAGGATTTGGAATTTCGGGAATCTCCTCCCGGAGCCGTGGGAGCGGCGGGGCCGGGGCCATCCCGGAATTCCGGGGCCATTCCCAGCCCCAGAGATTCTATTTTTTTGGGAATTCTCCATTTCCCATCCTCGGGAACCTCAGAAATTCCCAGGATGCTCCTTCCCATCCCCAAAATCCTCCGTTTTTTCCCCGTTTTTTTCCCCGGTTTTTCCCAGGTTTTGTATTCCCGGTTTTTTGTATTTTCCCGGTTTTTCCCTCGGAAGGGTCAGCGCTGCCCTCATCCCACATTTCCCAATAAAAATCTTCCCTTTTCCAAGGAAATCCCGTTTTATTCCAGGGGTTTGCATGCGGGGCTGGAACTGTGGGAATTCCCTCCTTTCCTGGAGTATTCCTGAGGTTTTCCAGGAATTCCTGGTCTTAAATCCAGGTTTGCTCGAGGTTTTCCTGAGGTTTTCCAGGAATTCAATTCCTGCAGTTTTCCTGGTGTTAAAATCCAGATTTTCCTGAGGTTTTTCATGAATTTCCAGTGTTAAATCCAGTTTTTCCTGAGGTTTTCCTGGAATTCCTGGTCCTAAATCCGGGTTTGCTCGAGGTTTCCCTGAGATTTTCCAGGAATTCAATTCCTGCAGTTTTCCTGATGTTAAAATCCAGACTTTAAAATTCCCGAATTTCCAGGAATTCCTGGCGTTATCCAGATTTTCCTTTTTCAGGAATCCCTGGTGCTAAATCCAGTTTTTCCAGGAGTTCTTGAGGTTTTCCTGGTGTTAAATCCAGGTTTTCCTCAGATTTTCCAGGAATTCCTGGTGTCAAATCCCGGTTTTCCCGATGATTTCTGGGAATCTCCGGTGTTCAATCCCAGTTTTCCCGAGATTTTCCAGGAATTCCTGATGTTAAATCCTGGCTTTCCAGGATTTTCCAATATTCAATCCCGGTTTTCCCGGTGTTTTCCAGGAATCCCCGGTGCAAAATCCAGATTTTCCTGAGATTTTCCAGGAATCCCTGGTGCTAAATCCCGGTTTTCCAGGATTTCCCGGTGTTCAATCTTGGTTTTCCCGAGGTTTTCCAGGAATTCCTGCAGTTTTCCTGGTGTTATCCAGATTTTCCTGAGATTTTTTTCAGGAATCCCCGGTGTTGAATCCCGTTTTTCCCCGATGATTTCCGGGAATCCCTGACGTTAAATCCCGGTTTTCCAGGAATTCCCGATGTTAAATCCCGGTTTTCCTGCAGTTTTCCTGGTGTTCAATCCCATTTTTCCCGGTGATTTCCAGGAATCCCCGATGTTAAATCCCGGTTTTCTAGGAATTCCTGATGTTAAATCCCGGTTTTCCTGGTGTTTAATCCCGTTTTTCCTGGTGATTTCCAGCAATCCCCGTTGTTAAATCCCGTTTTTCCCGGTGTTTTCCATGAATCCCTGCTGTCAATCCCGTTTTTCCCGGTGTTTTCCATCAATCCCCGGTGCTCAATCCCGTTTTTCCCGGTGTTTTCCATGGATCCCCAGTGCTCAATCCCGTTTTTCCCGGTGTTTCCCAACAATCCCCGCCATTCAATCCCGTTTTTCCCGATGTTTTCCATGGATCCCCGGTGCTCAATCCCGTTTTTCCCGGTGTTTCCCAGCAATCCCCGGTGCTCAATCCCGTTTTTCCCGATGTTTCCCAGCAATCCCCGCCATTCAATCCCGTTTTTCCCGATGTTTTCCATGGATCCCCGGTGCTCAATCCCGTTTTTCCCGGTGTTTCCCAGCAATCCCCGCCATTCAATCCCGTTTTTCCCGGTGTTTTCCATCAATCCCCGGTGCTCAATCCCGTTTTTCCCGATGTTTCCCAGCAATCCCCGTTGTTAAATCCCGTTTTTCCCGGTGTTTTCCATGAATCCCTGCTGTCAATCCCGTTTTTCCCGGTGTTTTCCATGGATCCCCAGTGCTCAATCCCGTTTTTCCCGGTGTTTTCCATCAATCCCCGGTGCTCAATCCCGTTTTTCCCGATGTTTCCCAGCAATCCCCGGTGCTCAATCCCGTTTTTCCCGGTGTTTCCCAGCAATCCCCGGTGCTCAATCCCGTTTTTCCCTTCCCATGGATCCCCGGTGCTCAATCCCGTTTTTCCCGGTGTTTCCCAGCAATCCCCGCCATTCAATCCCGTTTTTCCCGGTGTTTCCCATGGATCCCCGGTGCTCAATCCCGTTTTTCCCGGTGTTTTCCATGGATCCCCGGTGCTCAATCCCGTTTTTCCCGATGTTTTCCATGGATCCCCGGTGCTCAATCCCGTTTTTCCCGATGTTTCCCAGCAATCCCCGGTGCTCAATCCCGTTTTTCCCGGTGTTTCCCATGGATCCCCGGTGCTCAATCCCGTTTTTCCCGGTGTTTCCCAGCAATCCCCGCCATTCAATCCCGTTTTTCCCGGTGTTTTCCATCAATCCCCGGTGCTCAATCCCGTTTTTCCCGGTGTTTCCCAGCAATCCCCGGTGCTCAATCCCGTTTTTCCCGGTGTTTCCCATGGATCCCCGGTGCTCAATCCCGTTTTTCCCGGTGTTTTCCGCAGTCCCGGTCCCCTCTCCGTCCCCTCGCTGCCGCCGCCGCTCTCTCCCGGTGGCCCCGGGCCAGGCGGGCTCGGCCGCGGCCGCGTTCCCGGCGTTAATTGCGTTAATTGCGTTCATTAGCGCCCGTGTCGCCGCCGGGCCCGCGGCCGCTGTCGCCGTGGGTGGCCCCGGATGTCCCCGGGCCGCGTTTGTGTCCCCGGGGCTCCGAACTAGGTCAGGGCAGCGGGGCCGGCAGCGGGGAACGGGAACGGGGGAAAGGGGAACGGGAATGGGGAATGGGAAAATGGGAAAATGGGAAAATGGGGAATGGGGAAAGGGGAAATGGGAACAGGAAAAGGGGAACGGGAATGGGGAATGGGGAATGGGAAAGGGGAAAAGGGGAATGGGGAAAAGGGGAAATGGGAACAGGAAAAGGGGAACAGGAAAAGGGGAATGGGGAAAGGGGAACGGGAATGGGAAAGGGGAATGGGAATGGGGAAAGGGGAAAAGGGAAATGGGGAATGGGAAAGGGGAACAGGGAACGGGAATGGGGAAAGGGGAATGGGAATGGGAATGGGAATGGGGAAAGGGGAAATGGGGAATGGGAAAGGGGAACAGGGAACGGGAATGGGGAAAGGGGAATGGGAATGGGGAAAAGGGGAATGGGGAATGGGGAATGGGGAACAGGGATGGGAATGGGAATGGGGAAAGCGAAACAGGAATGGGGAACAGGAAAAGGAGAATGGGAAAGGGGAAAAGGGGAATGAGGAATGGGAAAGGGGAACAGGGAACGGGAATGGGGAAAGGGGAAAAGGGGAATGGGGAACAGGATGGGAATGGGAATGGGGAAAGGGGAACGGGGAATGGGGAAGGGGAAAAGGGAAATGGGGAAAGGGGAACGGGAATGGGAAAAGGGGAACAGGGAATGGGAATGGGGAAAGGGGAACGGGAATGGGAAAAGGGGAACAGGGAATGGGGAAAAGGGGAATGGGAATGGGGAAAAGGAATTGGGGATGGGAATGGGGAAATGGAAAAGGAGAATGGGGAAAGAGGATTGGGAATGGGAAAAGGGAAACGGGAACAGGGAAGGGGGAATAGGAAAAGGGAAAAGAGGAATGGGGAAAGGGAAAATGGGGAAGGGGAACAGGAATGGGAAAGAGAAAAGGGGAACGGGGAATGGGAACGGGAAAAGGGGAAAGGGGAACAGGAATGGGGAGAAGGAAATGGGAGTGGGAAAAAGGAAATGGGGAATGGGAATGAGGAAAAGGAGAAGGGGTAAAGGGGATTGGGAATAGGGAAAGGGAAAAGAGGAATGGGAAAAGGGGAATGTGAAAGAGGAAACGGGAAAGGGGAATGGGAAAAGGGAAAATAGGATTGGGGAATGGGAATGGGGAAAGGGGAACAAGAAAAGGGAAAATGGGAATGGGGGAAGGAAAAGGGGAAAATTCCCCCTTTAGAAATCCCCCTTAAAAAGGGGAAAGGGAACAGGAATGGGAAAAGGGGAAAGGGGGAATAAGAATAGGAAAAAGGGGAATGGGGAAAGGAGCGAAGGGGAGTGGGAATGAGAAAAGGAGAAAGGGGGAAAGGGGATTGGGAGTGGGAAAAGGGAATGGGGAAGGGGAATGAGAACAGGACAAGGGGAGCAGGAACGGGAATGGGGAAAGGGGAACAGGGAAAGGGAAAATGGGGATGGGAAAAAGGAAAAGGGGAGTGGGAATGGGAAAAAGGAACAAGAATGGGAAGGGGGAATGGGAGTGGGGAAAGGGAACAGGGAAAGGGGAATGGGAAAAGGGGAATGGGGAAAAGGGAAAGGGGAATGGGCATGGGAACAGAAATGGGAAAAAGGGAACGGGAAAAGGGGCACAGAAGGGAAAAGGGAATGGGGACTGGAAGGGGAGCTGGAATAGGAGAAGGGGAATGGGGAAAGGAAGAAGGGGCACGGGAAAGGGGAATGGGAACAGGAAAAGGGGCACGGGAAAGGGGAATGGGGAAAGGGGATGGGAACAGGAAAAGGGGATGGGAACAGGAAAAGGGGATGGGAATGGGCAAGAGAACGGGAACAGGGCTGGGAATGGGAACGGTGGAACAGAACAAAAGCGAGCGCTCGTTCAAGTCCTCGGAGTGGAGAAACAAAAACCAAAATCCCCCCCCAGTGCCCCCCAGTCCCTCCAGTGCCCCCTCAGGCTCGGCTGCAGGGGACAGGACAGGACAGGGACAGCGGTCACTGTGGGGACAGGGACAGCGGTCACTCTGGGGACAGGGACAGGGGTCACTGTGGGGACAGGGACAGCGGTCACTCTGGGGACAGGGACAGGGGTCACTCTGGGGACAGGGACAGTGGTCACTGTGGGGACAGGGACAGGGGTCACTGTGGGGACAGGGACAGCGGTCACTCTGGGGACAGGGACAGGGGTCACTGTGGGGACAAGGACAGGGGTCACTGTGGGGACAGGGACAGGGGTCACTGTGGGGACAGGGACAGCGGTCACTCTGGGGACAGGGACAGGGGTCACTGTGGGGACAGGGACAGCGGTCACTGTGGGGACAGGGACAGTGGTCACTGTGGGGACAGGGACAGGGGTCACTGTGGGGACAGGGACAGCGGTCACTGTGGGGACAGGGACAGTGGTCACTGTGGTCACTCGGAGGTGACCAGGCCTGCATGGGGAGGCCTCAGAGGTGTCCTGGAGGATCCAGCTGGAGTGGACAGAGGGGACATTGGGGACATGGCCGCAGGTGACACTGGGGACATGGCCGGAGTGGACATTGGGGACATGGCCGGAGACCACAGGGCCACCAACCCAGCAGAGCCCACTGGAGCCACGTCCCTGTGTCCAGGCCTTGTGTCCAGTCCCTGCTTGGACACCGGGGGTCCCTGCCCACCCTGTGCCCTCCCCTGCCCAGTGTCCCCCTCCCCTCGGTGACACCTCGCTGTCCCCTCAGCCCTGATTAGCCAGGGGACATTCCCGGCATAGCTGCAGCCCCTAATGAGGCTCCATAAAGGGCCGGCTCCTGGGGCCGCTCGTAAAATCCCCCCTTCAATTCCCCCTTAAAATCCTCCCCCATTAAAAATCCCCCCTTCAATTCCCCTTTTAAATCCCCCCTTAAATTCCCCCTTTAAAATCCTCCCCCATTAAAAATCCCCCCTTAAAATCCCCCCTTAAATTCCCCTTTTAAATCCTCCCCCATTAAAAATCCCCCCTTAAAATCCTCCCTTAAATTCCCCTTTTAAAATCCCCCCTTAAAATCCTCCCTTAAATTCCCCTTTTAAAATCCCCCCTTAAAATCCTCCCCCATTAAAATTCCCCTTTAAAAATCCCATTAAAATCCTCCCCTAAAATCCCCCATTCAAAATTTAAAATCCCCTTTTAAAATCCCCTTTTACAGCCAAGGGGCTGTGCCAGGACCCCAAATGTCCCCAATGTCCCCATGTCCCCAAGGACCCAGGGTCAGCAGTGGTGGCATTGTCCCCGTGCCAGCCTGGGGTGTCCCCTGTCCCCTCGATGTCACCCTAAGGTCCCCTCTGGAACCTTCCAGAGCCCAAATCCTTCCCCCACCCCCCCTGTAGGTGACAAAGGTGACAATGAGGGGACACATGGCCTGAAACCTCGGAACTTTCAGATTATTTCTCTATTTTTTAAAAAACATTTTTAATTTTTTTTTTGGGAATTTTTTTTTTTTTTTATTCTTTCTTTTTTATATTTTTGCTGTTCAAGTGCTGAGTTCGGCCCCGCCCCCCCCTCCCCCGGGACCCCCCCCCGGAGCCACAGAACGAGGGACGGAACAACGGACGGACCAACGGAAAAGGAACCTGGGGCGGCAGCACAGCCCGGGAGCGGGAAACCATTCCAATAATTAATTAGAATAATTAGAATAATCACATACTCGGGGGGGCCGCCACACCCCCCCAGCACCCCCTGCCTGTGGCACCAGTCGGTCCCGGGAACTGGGACCAGTTAGAGCCCATACTGGGACCAGTCAGTGTTGGGAACTGGGACCAGTTAGAGCCCATACTGGAACCAGTCAGTGTTGGGAGCTGGGACCAGTCAGTGTTGGGAACTGGGACCAGTTAGAGCCCATACTGGGACCAGTCAGTGTTGGGAACTGGGACCAGTCAGTGTTGGGCACTGGGACCAGTCAGTGCCTGGTACTGGGACCAGTCAGTGCCCATACTGGAACCAGTTGGTCCTGGGCACTGGGACCAGTCAGTGTTGGGTACTGGGACCATTTACCCCCCAGGTACTGGGACCAGTTAGAGCCCATACTGGAACCAGTCAGTGTTGGGAACTGGGACCAGTTAGAGCCCATAGTGGGACCAGTCAGTGTTGGGAACTGGGACCAGTTAGAGCCCATAGTGGGACCAGTTAGAGCCCATACTGGGACCAGTCAGTGTTGGGAACTGGGACCAGTTAGAGCCCATAGTGGGACCAGTTAGAGCCCATACTGGGACCAGTCAGTGTTGGGAACTGGGACCAGTCAGTGCCTGGTACTGGGACCAGTCAGTGTTGGGAACTGGGACCAGTCAGTGTTGGGCACTGGGACCAGTTAGAGCCCATACTGGGACCAGTTAGAGCCCATACTGGGACCAGTCAGTGCCTGGTACTGGGACCAGTCAGTGCCCATACTGGAACCAGTTGGTCCTGGGCACTGGGACCAGTCAGTGTTGGGTACTGGGACCATTTACCCCCCAGGTACTGGGACCAGTTAGAGCCCATACTGGAACCAGTCAGCACTGGAACCAGTCAGTCCCGGACACTGGGACCAGTCAGTGCCCATACTGGGACCAGTCAGTGTTGGGTACTGGGACCAGTTAGAGCCAGTACTGGGACCAGTCAGTGTCTATACTGGGACCAGTCAGTCCCAGGCACTGGGACCGGTTATTCCCGAGCACTGGGACCAGTCAGCACTGGGTACTGGGACCAGTTACCCCCAGGTACTGGTCCCAGTGCTGCCCACTGGGGTGACCGGTGCAGTGCCCAGAGGTAACTGGTCCCAGTTTGCAGCTCTGACTGGTCCCAGTGCCTGGAGCCGGTGGGTTCCGGTGCCCAGTCCTGAACTGGTCCCAGTACCTGAGGGTAACTGGTCCCAGTGCCCAGCTCTGACTGGTCCCAGTTTCCAGCTCTGACTGGTCCCAGTGCCCGCCCTCCCCATCCTGTCCCCTTTGTGCCCCCCGCCCGTGGCAGCCCCGGGGCCCCGCGGGGTTTTTGGGGTGCGGCCCCGCGGGTTTGGGGCTCCAGGGCCCCTCCCGGCGGTTCTGGACCTTTCCCGGTGGGCACGGGGGGGGTCCCTGCCCCCCTCAGCCCCGGAGCCCCCCGGGCACCGACGGGGGGAGCCCCGAGCCCGGACTGGCCACCACGAGGGGCTGGAGGTCACCATGAGGGTCTGGTGGTCACCACGAGGGGCTGGAGGTCACCATGAGGGTCTGGTGGTCCCCATGAAGCTCTGGTGGTCACCATGAGGGTCTGGAGGTCCCCACGAAGGGCTTGGCGACCACCGGACCAGGCTGTGCCCCTTTTGGGGTCTGCGGGACCTCCCCCTCCCCTTCCTGGCTGTCCCCATCCCAGTCCCCTCGCTCCGGCGCCACCAGGGCGGTGCCACCAGGCTGTGACACTGGTAGTGCCACCGGGCTGTGACACCGGGCAGTGACACCGAGCGGTGCCACCGGGCGGTGCCACCGGGCTGTGCCATCGGGCGGTGACACCGGGTGGTGACACCGGCCTGGCACGAGGGGCCCCTTAAGTGCTGCGGCGCCAGGATGGGGGTCCGGGGGTGTCCGGGGGGGTCCCCTCGGCGCCGTGAGCGCTGCGGGGCTGTCACGGAGCTGTCGCGACAAGTGCTAAAGATCCCGAGTGGCCCCGGTGTCCCCCTAAGTGCTGCGGGGCCGGAGCCCCCCGGGCCGGGGCCGCTCCCGGGTTAAGTGCTGGGGGGGCCGCGGGGGCCGCTCCCGGGTCCCGGCGCCTCCTCCGCTCCCGCCCGCATCGCCCGGGGCCGGGAGGGAACCGCGGGACGCGCGGGGGGTTCGTTCTCACGTGAAACAAACACAAACAACAGGGGGGGGGAAAAAGAAAAATAAAAACACAAAAAAAGAAAAGAAACAAACCCAAAACCCTCCGAGGGCAGCGCGAGGCGAACGTGCGGCGTAAGCGGAATTTCGGCCCCAGCCGGAGCCTCCCAGCAATTCTGGTGTCGCCTCCGGGTGACCCCCGGGCCGCCCTCGCCCCCCGGCGGAGCGGGGCCGGTGCCAGGGCCGCGGGCCAAGGCCGGCCCGAGGCTCCGCTCCGTGCCCGGGGGTCCCCGGGGGTCCCCGCGGAGGGAGCGGGGCGAGCGCCGGCCGGGAGGGCGATTAATAAATAAATAAATTAAAGAAGGGAGGCGGATTCCTCCCGGTGCCGGGGGCCCCGCGGCCGCAGCGAGGTCCGGGGTCGCCCCCTCCCCTCGGTGTCACCAGCGGTGTCACCAGCGCTGCTCCAGGAGCGCGGGGAGACGCGGGGTGCGCTCGCTGCTCTTCCTCATCCTCCTCATCCTCCTCCTCCTCCTCGCGGTGCTGCTGCTCTCCCCGCTGGGCTCGGCTCTCCCCGCCACCCGGGGCCGTGTCCCCGCCGTGTCCCCGTGTCGCCACCGCGGCCTGGGGGTCCCGGTGCCCCCTCCCCGTTCCCTTCTCCGTCCGGTCGCTTTTATTGCACAATGCGCGTGGGATCGCGGGCTCGCTGCTCCTCCTCCTCCTCCTCCTCCTCCTCCTCTCTCCTCCACCATCCAAACCGATTTCAACGCTTGGCCTTTGTCACTTTGCGCTTCCCGCCCCGCCCCGAACCAACAACAAAATGAAAAAAAAAAAAAAAAAAACCGCAAAAAAAAAAAAAAAAGAGCGGAAAAAATGCAGCGGAGGCCGCGGGGGCAGCGGGGCTCGGCGGGCCGGGGCAGCGCAGGCGAGGGAGGCGGCGCGGCTCTAGGAGCAGCCGCAGCGATCCACCACCATGCCGGGGATCTTGCCGTAGATGATCTGCTGCTTGTCGTTGAAGTAGAGCATGTTGATGGGGGACATCTTGGTGGGCGTGCAGCAGGGCCCGGCCGAGCCGCGCGGGTTGGCCTGCTGCACCAGGTGCGTGTGCGGGTACTTCTGCATGAACATGTACTCGCACTGGCCCGAGCAGTAGTTGGCCTTGTAGCGCTTGGGGGCGATGATCCAGTCCCAGCCGAACGCCTCGAAGTCCACGGTGAGCGGGTAGCGGCAGCAGCGCGACTCCGTCGAGTGCTCGTCGCAGTCCAGCCCCAGGTTCCGCCGGGAGCGCTTGTTGTTCTCCAGGACGCGCAGCTCCATGAACGGGTGCTGGGGACAGGGACCGACACAGGGGACAGGGACCAAGGGAGGGGACAGGGACGGACAGAGGGGACAGGGACGGACACAGGGGAGAGGGGACAGGGACCAAGGGAGGGGACAGGGACAGCCGGGAAGGGACAGGGACGGACACAGGGGACAGGGACCAAGGGAGGGGACAGGGACAGCCAGGAAGGGACAGGGACGGACACAGGGGACAGGGACCAAGGGAGGGGACAGGGACAGCCAGGAAGGGACAGGGACGGACACAGGGGACAGGGACCAAGGGAGGGGACACGGGGATAGCAGGGAGGGGACAGGAACAGCCAGGAGGGGACAGGGACCAAGGGAGGGGACACGGGGATAGCAGGGAGGGGACAGGAACAGCCAGGAGGGGACAGGGACCAAGGGAGGGGACACGGGGAACAGCCGGGAAGGGACAGGGACAGGGGTGAGGGGACAGGGACAGCCAGGAGGGGACAAGGGGGACAGCAGTGAGGGGACGGTAGTGAGGAGACAGGGACAGAAGTGAAGGGACAGGGACAGCAAGGAGGGGACACAAGGGATAGGGGTGAGGGGACAGGGACAGCGAGGAGGGGACACGGGGATAGCAGGGAGGGGACAGGGACGGATGGGAGCAGACAGGGACAGCAGTGAGGGGACAGTGGTGAGGGGACAGGGACACACGGGAGGGGACAGGGATAGCAGTGAGGGGACAGTGGTGAGGGGACAACCATGAGGGGATAGGGAAAGGGATGAGGAGACAGGGACAGCCAGGAGGGATCAGGGACAGCCGAGAGGGGACACAGGGGACAGAAGCGAGGGGACAGACACGAGGGGACAGGGACAGCAGGGAGAGGACAGGGGGGACAGGCAGGAGGGGACACAGGGGACAGCAGTGAGGGAATACGGACAGTGGTGAAGGGACAGATGTGAGGGGACATGGACAGTGGTGAGGGGACAGCGACGGCCAGGAGCAGACACGGGGGACAGCAGTGAGGGGACAGGGACAGCCGGGAAGGGACGCAGGGGACAGGGACAGTGGTGAGGAGACACAAGGGACAGTGACGAGGGGACAGCAGTGAGGGACACAGGACAGTGTCGAGGGGAGAGTGGTGAGGGGACACAGGGGACAATGGTGAGGACAATGGTGACACACCATCCCCACTGCACACTGCTCCGTCCAGCCCAGCTGTGCTGTGCCTCATGGAGGTGGCAGTGTCCCCACAGAACTGCCACCAGCCCCGTGGAACTGCCATCAGTCTATCGAGATGTCCCCAGCCCCACAGAGCCGTCACTGCCACCCACACCTGTGACCTCCAGGCTGTCACCAGCCCCACAGAACCGTCACTGTCCCCACAACCTGTGATCATCATCCCTAAAACTGCCACCACCCCTCGGAGCTGTCACTGCCCCCCAGCCTCATCCCCTGCCTCCAGAGCCACCCCACCATCCACTCAGTGCCCTCTGGGGACACCCTGAACCGGGGGGCAGTGCCACCCAGGAGCCCCTTTGGGGACACCCTGAGCCCCCCATGCCCCCTGGGCAGTGCCACCCACGAGCCCCTTTGGGGACATCCCAAACCTGCTGTCCGCTTGGGCAGTGCCACCCACTGGGGTCACCCCAAACACCCTGTACCCCCCTGGCAGTGCCACCCGCCAGCCCCTTTGGGGACACCCCAAACACGCTGTCCCCCCAGGAACTGAGGCACCAGTCCCTCTGTGCCCCTCTGGGCACACCCCAACCCCACCGTGTCTCCCAGTGCCACCCACCAGCCCCTCTGGGGACACCCCAAACCCCCTGTGCCCCCTGGCAGTGCCACCCACCAGCCCCTCTGGGGACACCCTGTGCCCCCTGGCAGTGCCACCCACCAGCCTCTCTGGGGACACCCTGTGCCCCCTGGCAGTGCCACCCACCAGCCTCTTTGGGGACACCCTGAACAAGGGCGGTGCCAACCACCCAGTGCCCCTCTGTGCCCCTCTGAGGACACCCCTAACCCCCCCATGTCTCCCAGTGCCACCCCCCAGCCCCTCTGTGCCCCCTGGCAGTGCCAGTGCCACCCACCAGCCCCTTTGGGAACACCTTGAGCCCCTCAGGCAGTGCCACCCCCCAGCCCCTCTGTGCCCCCTGGCAGTGCCAGCGCCACCCCCCAGCCCCTCGGTGCCCCCTGGCAGTGCCAGCGCCACCCCCCAGCCCCTCTGTGCCCCCTGGCAGTGCCACCCCCCAGCCCCTCTGTGCCCCCTGGCAGTGCCAGTGCCACCCCCCAGCCCCTCGGTGCCCCCTGGCAGTGCCACCCCCCAGCCCCTCTGTGCCCCCTGGCAGTGCCAGCGCCACCCACCAGCCCCTCGGCGCCGGGCCCCAGCGAGGTGACGGCCAGGTCGTTGCCGTTGGGGTCGAAGGCGTTGATCTCGATGCCCCAGTTGTTGTGGGGCTGCTTGAACCAGTTCTGCAGGACGTGCTTGAAGTCGATGCTCTGCCAGTGGCCGGCGCGCGAGTTGAGCTCGATCTTGAGCGAGCGGATGCGGATGTGGCGGCTGCCCTCGTCCGTGACGGGCTTGAGGCGCAGGATCTGCAGGTACACGGTGGAGGTGTGCTGCACCGGCCGCAGGTACACCCACAGCTGCGCCTTCACCACCTTGGTGAACATGATCTTGGGGCTGAAGTTGAAGAAGCAGCAGTGCGGGTTGCCCTCGATCTGCACCACCGGGTCGGCTGCGGGGCGAGGAGGGAGAGGAGGGGTCAGGGTGGGCTTAGAACCCTCGGTGGGACCCCCAAAGCGCGCTTCAGGGCTCGCTGTGGGGTCAGGAGGGGTCAGGGTGGGCTTAGAACCCTCGGTGGGACCCCCAAACCGCGCTTCAGGGCTCGCTGTGGGGTCAGGAGGGAGAGGAGGGGTCAGGGTGGGATTGGGACCCCAGGTGGGATCCCCCAAACGGTGATCTGGGACAGGCAGGACTCACTGTGGAGTCAGGAGGGGTCAGGGTGGGCTTAGAACCCTCGGTGGGACCCCCAAACCGCGCTTCAGGGCTCGCTGTGGGGTCAGGAGGGAGAGGAGGGGTCAGGGTGGGCTTAGAACCCTCGGTGGGACCCCCAAACGGCGCTTCAGGGCTCGCTGTGGGGTCAGGAGGGGTCAGGGTGGGACTGGGGGCATCGGTGGGACCCCCAAACCACACTTGGGGACAGGCAGGACTCGCTGCGGGGTCACCCCGACCCCACACCGGGACCCCCGAGCCCTGAACCGCACTCTGGGACCCCTGAGCCGCACTCTGGGACCTGAGACCCCCTCTGGGATCCCCCCCAGCCCCATTCAGGGACCCGAGACCCTCTATGGGATCCCCCAGACCCCACACCGGGACCTGAGACCCTCTCGGGGATCCCCCAGACCTGCACCAGGACCCCAGAGCCACATGATGGGACCCCCAAGCCTCACTCTGAGACCCCTGAACCGCACTCTGGGACCCCCGAGCCCCTTGTGGGGACCTGAGACCCTCTCTGGGACCCCCTCAGGCCCCATGACGAGACCCCTGAACCACACTCTGGGACCCCTGAGCCCCTTGTGGGAACCCAAGACCCTCTCTGGGACCCCCCCCCGGACCCCCTCTGGAATCCCCAGCCCCACACTGGGACCCCCGAGTTGCACTCTGGGACCCCTGAACCGCACTCTGGGACCCCCGAGCCCCTCTCTGGGACCCCCCAGGCCCATGCCAAGACCCCAAGCCCCTCTCTGGAATCCCCAGCCCCACACCGGGACCCCCGAGCCCCTCTCTGGGACCCCCCAGCCCCATCCCGGGACCCCCGAGAGCGGCGGGGTCGGGGCAGCCCCTGCCGGGAGGTGAAGGTCGGGTCAGAGCCCGGCCCGGGGGTCGCCCCCTGACCCACGGCCCCGCGTGGGGGGGGGGGTCCCAAATGGGGCGGGGGTCCCGACCTGTGTGGGGGTCCCAGAGCGCTGCGTCTCCCACCCCCCAAACCCCACACATCCCACGCCTCGGGGGGCTCCCGCAGCCCCCCAAAACCGGGAGGTGACGAACCCGGTGACCCCCCCCGAGCACCCCCCGGCCCGGGGGTCCCCCGAGCACCCCCGGCCCCACATCTGGCTCGAATTGAGGTGGGAATTTGCCCCCCCCGGCCTGGTCAGGTTTAATCACCCCCAGCTGCAGCCGCGGCCATTTGTGCGCCGGCCCCGCGGGGGTCGCGACAGCGCCAATGTCGCAAATGGGGCGGGGGGCGGCGGGGACCCCCCCCCAAATGGGGCGGGGGGCGGCGGGGACCCCCCAAACACCCCCGGAGAAGCTGAGGGGGGGGGTTGGCACCCGGGGGTGCGGGGCCGGTGGGTGCTGGGGGGGACCTGGGGGGCTCCAGGTGGGATTTGGGGGCTTCGGGTGGGGATTTGGGGGTTCCAGGTTGGAATTTGGGGGTTCCAGGTGGGGATCTGGGGGCTCCAGGTGGGATTTGGGGGCGCCAGGTGAGAATTTATGGGGAGGGTTCCAGGTTGGAATTTGGGGGGTTCCAGGTGGGGATTTGGGGGTTTCAGGTGGGATTTTGGGGGGGGCTCCGCGTGGGAATTTTTGGGGTCTCCATGTGGGGATTTCGGGGGACTCCAGGTGAAGATTTAGGGGGGTTCCAGGTGAGGATTTTGGGGGGCTCTAGGTGGGAATTTGGAGGGGACTCCGAGTGGGGATTTGGGGGGGTGTCTAGGTGGGGATTTTGGGGGGTTCCAGATGAGGATTTTTGGGGTTCCAGGTGAGGATTTGGGGTCTCCAGAAGCCCCCCAGGCCCCTCCTTGGTGTCCCCCCCATCCCGGGGGTCTCTCTGCCCATCCCGGGGGACCCCGGGCTCGGTGAGGGGGGGGGGTCTGGCTGGGGGGGGGGGGGGGGGCGTTGCCAGGATGCTCCTCCCGTCTCCATGGCAACGGGGGATAAAGGTTACCGGGACACCGGGCACAGCTGGGGCCGGGCGGGGCGGGGGCGGCCCCGGAGCCCCCCCCGCTCTTTGTTCGGCATTCGGGGCCCCCCGAGCGCTGCCCGCGCCCCGCCCGCGGTGTCCCCCTGTCCGTCCCTGTGTCCCCCTGTCCGTCCCTGTGTCCCCCTGTCCGTCCCTGTGTCCGTCCCTGTGTCCCCCTGTCTGTCCTTGTGTCCCCCTGTCCGTCCCTGTGTCCCCCTGTCCGTCCCTGTGTCCTCGTGTCCGTCCCTGTGTCCCCCTGTCTGTCCCTGTGTCCGTCCCTGTGTCCCCCTGTCTGTCCCTGTGTCCCCCTGTCCGTCCCTGTGTCCTCATGTCCGTCCCTGTGTCCCCCTGTCCGTCCCTGTGTCCGTCCCTGTGTCCCCCTGTCTGTCCCTGTGTCCCCCTGTCCGTCCTTGTGTCCGTCCCTGTGTCCCCCGTCCGTCCCTGTGTCCCCCTGTCCGTCCCCGTGTCCGTCCCTGTGTCCCCCTGTCCGTCCCTGTGTCCTCACATCCGTCCCTGTGTCCTTGTGTCCGTCCCTGTGTCCCCCTGTCTGTCCCTGTGTCCCCGTGTCCGTCCCCGTGTCCCCCTGTCCGTCCCTGTGTCCCCTGTCCGTCCCTCTGTCCTCATGTCTGTCCCTGTGTCCCCCTGTCCGTCCCTGTGTCCATCCCTGTGTCCTCATGTCCGTCCCTCTGTCCCCCTGTCCGTCCCCGTGTCCCCTGTCCGTCCCCGTGTCCTCTGTCCGTCCCTGTGTCCGTCCCTGTGTCCCCCTGTCCGTCCCTGTGTCCCCATGTCCGTCCCCGTGTCCCCCTGTCCGTCCCTGTGTCCCCATGTCCGTCCCTGTGTCCTCCTGTCCGTCCCTGTGTCCGTCCCTGTGTCCGTCCCTGTGTCCCCCTGTCCGTCCCTGTGTCCCCTGTCCGTCCCTCTGTCCTCTGTCCGTCCCTGTGTCCCCCTGTCCGTCCCTGTGTCCGTCCCTGTGTCCTCTGTCCGTCCCTGTGTCCTTGTGTCGCTGTCCCCGCGTCCCGCTGACCTTGAGCCCCCCCGGACCCCCCCCCCCCAAAAGGGCCTCATTAATCTCCCCCACCCCCCCCGGGGGTCGCGGGGGTCACGGGTGGCCCCTCGGGGGGGGGGGCTCGGAGCCAATTAACCCTCGCGGCTCCGGGGAACCCGAGAGCTTTATGGCCCATAAAGCGCCTTCCCCTCCTTCTGTTCAGGAACCATAAAAACCCCGAATTGCCCGGGGGGGTCGAGCCCAGAGCGGGGAAAAAAGGAAAAAAAAATCAAAATAATAACGGAGAGAAGCCCCCTCCCCTTTCTCCTCCCCTCCTCGGGTGCATCCGGACCCGCGGGACCCCCGGGAGGAGGGGAGGGGGCTCTGCCCTTTATTTTGGGGGGCCCCGAGCTGCCAAAGGGGCGGGGAGGGGGGGCCCGAGGCCCGGGGAGGAAAACCCCAGCGTGTCGTCAATTTTATGGGTAATAAAATTTCAAAGCCGCCCGAGCGCATTTAATGCCTGGGAAGGAAATTCGGGGAGGGGGCGGCAGCGCCTCGCCCCTCCCTCCCTTCCGCTCCCCCCCCCCGGGGGTCCCGCCCGGGAGCAGGTGGAGAAAGCCCGGGGGAAACTGAGGCACGGGGGGGGCGGGGCCGGGCACGGGCGAGTCCCCGTGGGGACCCCCTGGGACCCCCTGGCTGGGCCGGGCTGGCCCCAGCAGGGCCCTGATGTCACCGTCACCCCCTTTGTCACCTCGATGTCACCCTGATGTCACCCCCATGTCACCCTGCTGTCATCACAACCCTGTTTGTCACCCTGCTGTCACCCTGCTGTCACTCTCACCTTGTTTGTCACCCTGTTTGTCACCCCGATGTCACCATCAACCTGCTGTCACCCTGCTGTGGCCTCGCCGTCACCCTGCTGCCACCCTGTTAGTCACCCTGACGTCACCCTGCTACCCTGTTTGTCACCCTGCTGTCACCATCACCCTGTGAGTCACCCTGCTGTCACCCTGTTAGTCACCCTGCTGTCACCCTGGTGTGACCCTCTTTGTCACCCTGTTTGTCACTTTGCTGTCACCCTATTGTCACCCTGCTGTCACCCAGGTCACCGTGTGCCACCTGCCCCGTGTCCCCAGTTTGCTCCCGGCGCCCAGTGCCAGGTCCCAGTGGCGCTGCTGAGCGGGGACAGTGCCCGGTGACAGTGCCCAGGTCCCCAGTGCCCGGTGCCAGCTCCCAGCTCGCAGTGACCGCTCACGGTCCCTGCTGCCAACTCCCAGTCCCAGTCCCAGTCCCAGTCCCAGTCCCAGTCCCCAGTCCCAGTCCCAGTCCCCAGTCCCAGTTCCTGGTTTCAGTCTCCTGTCTCAGTTCCCAGTCCCAGTCCCCAGTCCCAGTCCCCAGTCCCAGTCCCAGTCCCAGTCCCCAGTCCCAGTTCCCAGTCCCAGTCCCAGTCCCCAGTCCCAGTTCCCAGTTTCAGTCTCCTGTCTCAGTTCCCAGTCCCAGTCCCAGTCCCCAGTCCCAGTCCCCAGTCCCAGTCCCCAGTCCCCAGTCCCCAGTCCCCAGTCCCCAGTCCCCAGTCCCAGTCCCAGTCCCCAGTCCCCAGTCCCAGTCCCCAGTCCCAGTCCCCAGTCCCAGTCCCCAGTCCCCAGTCCCCAGTCCCCAGTCCCCAGTCCCCAGTCCCAGTCCCAGTCCCCAGTCCCCAGTCCCAGTCCCCAGTCCCCAGTCCCCAGTCCCAGTCCCCAGTCCCAGTCCCCAGTCCCAGTCCCAGTCCCCAGTCCCAGTCCCAGTCCCAGTCCCCAGTCCCAGTTCCCAGTTTCAGTCTCCTGTCTCAGTTCCCAGTCCCAGTCCCAGTCCCCAGTCCCAGTCCCCAGTCCCCAGTCCCCAGTCCCCAGTCCCAGTCCCAGTCCCCAGTCCCCAGTCCCAGTCCCCAGTCCCCAGTCCCCAGTCCCAGTCCCCAGTCCCAGTCCCCAGTCCCAGTCCCAGTCCCCAGTCCCAGTCCCAGTCCCAGTCCCCAGTCCCAGTTCCCAGTTTCAGTCTCCTGTCTCAGTTCCCAGTCCCAGTCCCAGTCCCCAGTCCCAGTCCCCAGTCCCCAGTCCCCAGTCCCCAGTCCCAGTCCCAGTCCCCAGTCCCCAGTCCCAGTCCCCAGTCCCCAGTCCCAGTCCCCAGTCCCAGTCCCCAGTCCCAGTCCCAGTCCCCAGTCCCAGTGCCAGTCCCAGTCCCCAGTCCCAGTCCCAGTCCCAGTTCCCAGTTTCAGTCTCCTGTCTCAGTTCCCAGTCCCAGTCCCAGGTTCCAGTGCCCTTTCTCCATTCCCAGTCTCAGTTCCCAGTCTGAGCTCCCAGTCCCAGTCCCAGTCCCCAGTCCCAGTCCCCAGTCCCAGTCCCCAGTCCCCAGTCCCAGTCCCCAGTCCCCAGTCCCAGACCCCAGTCCCAGTCCCCAGTCCCAGTCCCCAGTCCCAGTTCCCAGTCCCCAGTCCCAGTCCCCAGTCCCAGTCCCAGTCCCAGTCCCAGTCCCCAGTCCCAGTCCCCAGTCCCAGTCCCAGTCCCCAGTCCCAGTCCCCAGTCCCAGTCCCAGTCCCCAGTCCCCAGTCCCAGTCCCAGTCCCAGTCCCAGTTCCCGGTATCAGTCCCAGTTCCCAGTCCCCAGTCCCAGTCCCCAGTTCCCAGTCCCCAGTCCCAGTCCCCAGTTCCCAGTCCCCAGTCCCCAGTCCCCAGTCCCCAGTCCCAGTCCCAGTCCCCAGTCCCCAGTCCCCAGTCCCAGTCCCCAGTCCCAGTCCCAGTCCCAGTCCCAGTCCCCAGTCCCAGTCCCAGTCCCAGTCCCCAGTCCCCAGTCCCAGTCCCCAGTCCCCAGTCCCCAGTCCCAGTCCCAGTCCCAGTCCCAGTTCCTGGTTTCAGTCCCAGTCCCAGTCCCAGTCCCAGTCCCAGTTCCCAGTTTCAGTCTCCTGTCTCAGTTCCCAGTCCCAGTCCCAGGTCCCAGTGCCCTTTCTCCATTCCCAGTCTCAGTTCCCAGTCTGAGCTCCCAGTCCCAGTCTCAGTCCCCAGTCCCAGTCCCCAGTTCCCACTCCCCAGTGTCTTCCCCGTCCCAGTCCCACTCCCCAGTCCCCAGTCTCAGTTCCCAGTCCCAATCCCAGTCCCCAGTTCCTCATCCCAGTCCCCAGCCAGGTCCCAGCGCTGGGCCGGGTGCTGCTGCCAGCTCCCAGCGCCTGTGCCCAGTCCCAGCTCTGTGTCCCCAGTCCCCTGTCCCATCTCCCAGTGCCAGCTTCCAGTCCCCACTCCCGGCACTCAGAACCAGCTCCCAGTTCTGTGTCCCCAGTCCTGTGTTCCCAGTCCTGTGTTCCCAGTCCCAGCTCCCAGTCCTGTGTCCCCAGTCCTGTGTCCCCAGTCCTGTGTCCCCAGTCCTGTGTTCCCAGTCCTGTGTTCCCAGTCCCAGTGCCAGTCCCAGCTCCCAGTCCCAGCTCCCAGTCCCAGTGTCAGCCCTCAGTCCCCAACCCCAGCGCTCTGTGCCAGCTCCTGGTTCCCAGTCCCAGGTCCCGTTCCCAGTGCCCTGTCCCCAGTCCCAGTCCCCAGTCCCAGCTCCCAGTCCCAGCTCCCAGCACTCAGAACCAGCTCCCAGTACCAGATCCCAGTCCCCAGTCCCAGCTCTATGTCCCCAGTCCCCAGTCTCAGCTCCCAGTAACAACTCCCAGCACTCACAACCGGCTCCCAGTCTCCAGTCCCAGTCCCTGGTGCCATCTCCCAGTCCTCTGTCCCCAGTCCCAGCTTCTAGATCCCAGTCCCCAGTGCCACCTCCCCAGTGTCCCCAGCCTGTCCCCGTTCCCAGTCCCCCGTTCCAGCTCCGCTCCCCAGCTCGGGGCCCCTCTCCAGTCCCAGTTCCCGGCGCTGTCCCCTCCTTGTCCCCTCGCTGTCCCCTCGTTGTCCCCGCAAACACGAAGCGGCCCCGCGGGACCCGCACGGACTGGGGGGAACCTGAAGGGCCCGAAGGGGGCTCGGGGACCCCCGAGAGGATTCAGGGACCCTCATGATGAGCTCATGGACCCGGAGAGGGACTCGGGGACCCCCGGGAGAAGCTCAGAGACCCCCGGAGGAGGCTCAGGAACCCTCGAGAGGGACTCAGGGACCCCCGAAAGGACTCACGGACCCCCCGGAGGAGGCTCAGGGAGCCCCGACAGGGACTCAGAACCCCCAAAAGGACTCAAGGACCCCCGGGAGGGACTCGGTGGCCCCCGGAGAAGGCTCAGGGACCCCCGAGAGGAGTCGAGAACCCCCGGGAGGGACTCGGGGATCACCGGGGGGGGCTCGGTGAGGACGGGGCGCCCCTCGGGACCATCGGTACCGAGCACCGAGGAGGGCAGCGGGACCCGGGAGCGGAGCGGGGGGGGGGGGGGCTCCGTGCCGGGGCTGGGGGCCCGGGGCCGGGGGGGGGGAGTCCTGCGGCGAAGTTTGCAGCGGAACAAAGGGCGGCACTGACTTTCCTGGGCCATGCTGATGACGGTCTCGGTGGTGGCGTGGTACTCGTCCTCCTCCAGGTACTCGTCGTGCTGCAGCGAGTCCCCCTGGAAGTCGTGGAGGTCCAGGAGCTGCTGCAGCGGGGGGGCCTTGGGCAGCAGCTGCTTCACCACCTCCCGGGTGATGTTGGGCGCTTCCTTCAGCCGCAGCTTGCTCAGGATCTGCGACTTGATGCTCTCCAGGCGCAGCTCTTTGCTCTGCCGCCGCCACAGGCACACGGGGCAGGCGGGCTCGGGGGCCGGGGGCTGCTCCACCGACCCCCCGCCCGCCACCGCGGCCACCAGCGAGCCCAGCAGCCACCACAGCGGGGCCATGCCGGGGGGGGACAGCAAAAAATACATCGGGGGGAAAAAAAAAAAAACAAAACAAAACAAACAAAAAAACCAACAAAACAAAAAGAAGGGAAAAAAAAAAAAAAAAACAAAACCCAGAGAAACAAGAGGGAGGGGATTAAAAAAAAAAATTAATAATAAAAAAATAACAAAAATAAAATAAGCAAACCCTTCCCCACCGGGCCGCCCCCCCGCCCCGCTTCCACCGCAGCGCGCAAGGGGGGGGAAGGCGGTAACGGCGGCGGGGGCGGGGAAGCCCCGGGGGGGGCCGAAGGGGGGGGGGGGATGAAAAAAAGCGGCGGCAGCGGCGGCCCCGGGGTTTTATACCCCAAGAGAAGTGTGTCGTCAGCGGCCTTGATTGGCTGCGGGCGCACAAAAGAGGTTCTGGCAGGGGCTTGGCACCGCCGCCGCCGGCCCCCCGAGCCCCGGGAACGGCCCCGCCGCCGCCCGGGCAGCCCCGGCACCCCCGGCCCGCCCCTCGCCTCGGGGGGGCCCGGGGGCGGCCGCGGCTCCCGGAGAGCGAGGCGGGATGGACGCGAGTCCGGCAAGTGCGACCCCCGCCCCCGGGGGACCTCCGAGACCCCCCGAGCGCCCCCGGGCCCGCTCCGGGCCGGCCCCGCTGGAACCGGGCACGGGTTCGGCCACCGGAGAGACCGGGAGGGACCGGGAGAGGCGGAACCCGGTCTGGGGGTGCCCGGCTGGGACTGGGGGGCTCGGAGACCCCCGGAGGAGCTGAAACTCCGGGAGGGGGTGCGAAGGTGCCCGGTCTGGAGCATCCTGGAACCGGGCACGGGATCCGGCACCGGAGCGGCCGGGAGGGACGGGGAGAGGTGGAGCCCGGTCTGGGGGTGCCCAAACGGGGGTTGGGGGGCTCAGAGACCCCCGGGGGGGCTGAAACTCGGGGAGGGAGTGCAAAGGTTCCCTGTCTGGAGCATCGCGGCACCGAGAAGTGCTGCGGGAGCACCGGGAGGTCCCAGGAGGGACAAGGACGTCCCAGCACGGTTTGGGGGACACCGAGGGTCACCGGGGATCACGGGCGTCCCATCCCCAACACGAGGGGGGCACAGGAGGGTCCTGCCCATCCCGCACCGGCACCGGGCAGCGCTCCCAGGAGGAGCCGGGGGAGCAACGAGGGGACCCCGACCCTGAGATCACCATGGGGACCCCCAAAGTGACCGGGACCCCCGCTCCCCTTATCCCGCCCCATCAGAACCATGGAGAGGGGAAATCGCACCGGGGGGGGGCGCTCGGGAGGGTGGGCACGGCCATGGTGGGGGGGGGGGGGGGGGTCCCGGTGGGTTGGGGGCGGGGGGAGCGGCCCCGTTGCCCCCCGGACCCGGCGGGGTCGGTGCCGGTGCCGCAGCCCCGGGGACGGCGCCCCCCCCTGGCGGCCGGGGCGGGAACTGCAGCGGGGGCGCTTTGGGGACAGCGACAGCGACACGGGACACGGGACAGCGACAGCGACACGGGATATGGGACCCGCCACCGCCACCGAGCGTGTCTCCCCGCGGTGTCCCCGGTGCCACAATCCCGGCGGTGTCGCCTCCCGCCGTGTCCCCTCCCCGCCGGTGTCCCGTTCCCCCCCGGTGTCCCCGCGCTCCGCTGTGACCCCGGCAGGCGGGGCCGGCACCGAGCGGGTTAAGCGCGGCTGTGACGCGGCCCCGTCCCCGCCCCCGGGCTGGAGCTGTCAGCGGCCCCGGTAACGGCGGCGCGGGCGGGGGGCGGCCCCAGGGTCCCCGCGGGTCCCCGGGTGTCCCCAGGGGTGGGGACGCGGCCTGGGGGGGTCCCGGTGCGGGGGTGGCGGGGATGGGGGGGGATTGGGGCCGTTCCGGGGCCGTTCCGGGGGGGCCGCGTGGCTCGGAGCCTTCCGGGGGGACAGCGGGGACCCCCCCGGCCCCAGCGGGTCCGGTCCCCGCGGGACAGCGCCACCCCCCCTTGGGGACAGCCTGGGGACAGCCTGGGGACAGCCGCGTGTCCCCGCGGCCACAGCGCCGGGGCCGTTTCCCCGTGGCCGCCTTTGTGTCCCCGTGTCCGCATCGCCACCTCCCCCGTGTCCCCGTGTCCCCGCCTGCCCATGTCCCCGTGTCCCCGCACCCCCGTGGCACCCTGTCCCCGTGCCCCCGTGTGCCCACATGCACATCACCACGTTCCTCGCGTCCCTGTGTCCTCACATCCGCATGTCAATGTCCCCACATCCTGCTGTCCCCAAATCCGCCCATCCCCGTGTCCCCAAACTCCCACTGTCCATGTCCCAATGTCCCCAAATTGCCACATCCCAGAGTCCCTAAAATCCCAATGTTCATGTCCCCCGTCCCTCTGTCCCCCTGTCCCCACATCTTCCTGTCCCCACATCCTCCTGTCCCCAAATTCCCACATCCCAATGTCCCCAAAATCCCAGTGACCATGTCCCCCTGTCTCCCTGTCTCCCTGTCCCCCTGTCCCCATATACCAATGCCCTCAAAATTCCACTGTCCATATCCCCGAATTTCCACATCCCAGTGTCACCCTGTCCCCACATCCTCCTGTCCCCAAAATCCCACTCTCCATGTCCCAATGTCCCCCCTGTCCCCCTGTCTCCTTGTTCCCCCGTCCCCACATCCCAATGTCACCCTGTCCCCACATCCTCCTGTCTCCACATCCCAATGTCCCCGAAATCCCATTGTCCATGTCCCCCTGTCCCCCTGTCCCTCTGTCCCCCTGTCCCCGTATTCCCCTGTCCCCACATCCCAATGTCCCCGAAATCTCACCGTCCATGTCCCCCTGTCCCCCTGTCCCCAAATCCCCATGTCCCACCATCCCAATGTTCCCAAAATCCCACTCTCCATGTCCCACCATCCCAATGTTCCCAAAATCCCACTCTCCATGTCCCAATGTCCCTCTGTCCCTCTGTCCCCACATCCCAATGTCCCCCTGTCCCCACATCCTCCTGTCTCCACATCCCAATGTCCCCGAAATCTCACTGTCCATGTCCCCCTGTCCCCCTGTCCCCAAATCCCCATGTCCCACCATCCCAATGTCCCCGAAATCCCACTGTCCATGTCCCTGTGTCCCCCTGTCCCCCTGTCCCCATATTCCCCTGTCCCCACATCCCCGTGTCCCCAAAATCCCACTCTCCATGTCCCAATGTCTCAATGTCCCAATGTCCCCACATCCCCGTGTCCCCAAACTCCCACTCTCCGTGTCCCCAGTGTCCCCCTGTCCCCATTATTCGGGGTCACTCCGGTCCCTTCCCGAGCGCGCCGCTGACCCCGCGCTGCCCCCGCCAGGTGTCGCCGCTGTATCGCGACTCTATCGCGGCGGTGTCGCGGCGGTGTCGCGGCCATGGCGGGGCTGCTGCCGGCGCTGGTGGCGGTGTCGCAGAAGGCGGCCGAGGTGGCGCGGCGCTGCCGGGCGGAGGAGCCGCTGTTCCGGCTCCTGGTGGCCGAGAAGTCGGGCCCGGAGCGCAGCGCCCGCTTCGAGCGCGACTTCAAGACCCTGGCGGACGTGCTGATCCAGGAGCTCATCAAACACGACCTGGGGACACAGGTGGGGACACTGAGGGTGGCCCGGGGGGGTGGCAGCTCCCGGGGTGTCCCCTGAGCCACCCCCGGTGTCGCCGCAGTTCCCCGAGCTCCGGGGACACATCCACGGTGAGGAGAGCAGCGAGTTCAGGGACGCCAACGGTGAGAGGGGACAGAGGGGACAGCGAGGGGACAGCGAGGGGACAGTGGGGACTGTGAGGGGACAGGGAGGGGACAGTGGGGACAGTGGGGACTGTGAGGAGACAGGGAGGGGACAGTGGGGACAGTGGGGACAGAGGGACAGGGGGGACAGAGGGACAGGGGGGACAGAGGGGACACACATGGGGATGTGGAGTCAAGGTCGGGGAGGGAGTCCCCATGTCCCCATATTCCCATGTCCCCATATCCCAATGTCACCCTGCCAGTGTCCCCGTGTCCCCGTGTCCCTGTGTCCCCGTGTCCCTGTGTCCCCATGTCCCCACATTCCCATGGCTGAGTCGGGGGTCCCTGGGCCATGTCCCTGGCAGGTGGCATGGTGACAGCGCAGGTCGGTGCCACCCTGGGTGTCCCCGTGCCATGTCCCTGTGTGATTTGGGGTCCCTGCAGGTGGCACGGTGACAGCGCAGGTCGGTGCCACCCTGGGTGTCCCCGTGCCATGTCCCTGTGTGATTTGGGGTCCCTGCAGGTGGCACAGTGACAGTGCAGGTCGGTGCCACCCTGGGTGTCCCCGTGCCATGTCCCTGTGTGATTTGGGGTCCCTGCAGGTGGCACGGTGACAGTGTGGGTCGGTGCCACCCCAGGGGCTGATTTGGGGTCCCTGCAGGTGGCACGGTGACGATCCAGGTCGGTGCCACCCCGGGGGACACGGTGGCCCTGCTGGTGGCCGTGCTGGGCCCCGAGCACACGCGGGCGGCCGAGCTGCTGGCAGAGGCCGTGCACCAGGAGGTGACACTTGGGGACGCGGAGCTGGATGGCATCGACCCCGGATTGTCCCCAGGGGACCTCGGGATCTGGATAGACCCCATTGGTGAGAGGGGGGGGGGACAGGGGTGGGATGGGGATGGGATGGGGACAGGAATGGGGACGGTGATGGGATAGGGACAGAAATGGGATGGGGACAGGGATGGGGACGGGGGGGGACAGGGATGGGGATGGGACAAGATTGGGACTGGGATGGGGACAGGGACCAGATGGGGTTGATGGGATGGGATGGAGGGGACAGAAACAGGAACAGGGACAGGGATGGGGACAGGGAATGTTGTGGGGTGGGATGGAGATGGGGACAGGGATGGGAACAGGGACAGGATGGGGACAAGGACAGGATGGAGACAGGAACGGGGACAGCATGGGGACAGGGAATGTTGTGGGGTGGGATGGGGATGGGGACAGGGACAGGATGGGGACAGGCACAAGGACAGGGGTGGGATGGGGATGGGAATGGGAATGGGGTGGGATAGAGGGGACAGAAACAGGGACAGGGAT